ATTAAACATAATCAAAAAAGTACTGTGCTAAGTAGTGAGAATATAAATAGAAGAATAAGATACTCTTTGCTCTCAAGTAGGTCCCATTCTTTTTTTTCACTTTTTAATAGTATTTTTTTCAATTACACATAAAGACAATTTTTAACATTCATTTTTCATAAAATTTTGACTTCCAAATTTTCTCTGTCCCTCTCTCCTCTGCCGCCTCATTGAGAAAGCAAGCAATTTGATATGGGTTATATATGTAAATCATGTAAAACCTCTTACCATATTAATCTTGTTGTGAAAGAAGAAAGTTTGCAAAAAAAAATTACAATTTGTAAAAAGAAAAAAAAACATAAAAAATAAAGAAAGTGAAAATAGTATGCTTCGATCTGCATTCAGACTCCATCAGTTCTTTCTCTGGATGTGGAGAGCATTTTCCATCATGAGTCTTTTGGAATTGTCTTGGATCATTGTATTGCTAAGAGCTAAGTCAATCATATTTGATCATCAGAAATGTTGCTGTTTTTGTGTACAATGTTCTCCTGATTCTGCTCACTTCACTTTGCACTAGTTTATGTTGTCTTTCCAGGTTTTCCTGAAAGCATCCTGCTCATCATTTCTTATAGCACAATAGTCACAATAGTATTCCATTACATTCATGTACCACAACTTGTTCAGCCATTCCCCAACTGATGGGCAACCCCTCAATTTCCAGTTCTTTGCCACCACAAAAAGAGCTGAGTAGCTCCCATTTTAATGGGGAAGACAACACATAAGAAAGATTTCAGCTACAAGCCCTATAGAAAAATTCTATAGGGTACAGTGGCAAAGCAGATATTAATGCCTTTTCTTTAATGTCATTTCCACTAATAAAATCACATCAGTTTCTGATGCTGACTCATTGGGCAGCGTCAAGGACTTTGGTGGCAAGAATTTTCCTTTCTGGGTATTTAGTAGTTGTGGCTGTAGCATCTGCAGGAACAGTGACCAGACTGCATCTCCACAGAGGGGTTGCTTCCCAGGATGATGGCTGAAGGACTTGGGTTGGAACCATTGCTACTCCCAAGGCTCTTGGGATCAGGGTTCTGGGTTGTCTCCATCAGGGTCAGATGGGAGAGGTGGTGGGGGTGGTTTGACTTGCCTGGCACATGCCTTCTCCTGACTCTCCAGGATGCCTTGCTGTTTCAGCTAGTCTGGCTTGCCTGCCCTATGAATGGCAGTTGGCTGATAGTTGGTGGAGATGGTTGGACCCTTCTCCACAAGAGTTGCTTCTCTGGCTAATGGTTGTGAGGGCTTGGAAGCAGGATTAGTGTCTGGAAACTGTTACCATTCCCATCATTCTGTATGCTCAGTGATAGCAGGTGGTCATCAGTCATTGCTGTTGGTAGGCCCACTCAATTCCTCTCCTCAATAAAGGCTTTCGGGGCTGATCTGGAAGCAGGTGTGGTGGTTTGTGGGGCACTGCTTTTCCAAGACTCTTGGTCTGAGAGTCCTAGGTGGTTTCCAACAGGGTCTGAGGGGAAGTGGTGGTCAAGGTGGTGGTGGTTGTTTGATTTTTCTGGACACATTCTGCCTTCTGTTTCTCTCTCAGTTTTCCCTGCTGCCTAGGCAAATTATGTGTAAAAATTTCCAGGGGAAGGCACTAGCAGCTGAGGCAGAGGACAGGCTTTCTTAACAGTAATTAAGGCATTTGAGTTGATATTTATTGAATTGAATTGAAATGTCTGGGGAATTGAATTGAAGAGAGGATAGGGAAAGTCCTTTGAGAAACATTTTTTTGTGTTTCCAAAGAAAATACATGTAACTGATTGCAAAACTGCATTCATAAGCACAGGGGCAGCTGTCATTTTACTGGCAGTCTGTACTTTGATGGAAGTGGAAGAAATAAAATAATACTGATTTCTCTTTGTTCTGGAAGACTTTATTACTTTGCATTCCCAGAGGAGTTTCTTCAATAATACACACTGGGCTTGGGGGACAAGAGTTTTTTGTTTTTTTTTTGCTAAGAATACAAAATGTGTCCCCTTGGGGTTGGAGGGGTCATGTGACTTGTCATCCAGGAGGAAAAGGAACAATCGTTGTATTCTTGGCAACATTCACACGAGATCCCTGCAGCACCCCCATCTCTAATCTACCTTGAGACACACCTTCCAGCCTCAGGGTGTCCAATTATTCCTAAGATTTGCTACTTTCTCTCCTAAACTACTTATTCTCCTTCCAATTCTTTCCTGCAGTGCTTTTACCTCATTTTTTAAAACCTTTTATTTTAATTTCTTCTAGGTATTCATGTAGTCCATTTTTTCCCCCTTTGAGTCTCTGCTTGCAGGTGTTAAGGGATTATTTGCTTCTTTGTTTTAGAGATTTCTAAATTTGCAATAATTTTTTTAGACTGGTCAGGCTTTCTTTTGATTTACTCATCTTTCCAGCTTTAGTTCCTCAACTGAGGCTTTGTGCCAACTGCTGCTCTTTCAGGTGGGATGGTTGGCTGTACTTTGGTTTGCCCTAGGTCCACCTGGTTCCTGCACTGATCTGGGGTAGGCCCCACCTTGGATCTTTGAGGTTCAAAGTGCTTGATCTTCAGGTATTTCTTTGGTGTTTTAGATAGTGTGATAGAACACATAGGCCTGGGGTGTCCTGGTTTGAGATCTACTTCCTGGGGCTTCCAAGGTCTCCAACCCAGGGTTTTCTGACTACCCTGGGGTTTTCTTAGAGGAGTTTTCCACTCTTCTTGCTTCTGGACACAGAACTTTCTAGGCTAAACTTATCCCTGGCCCATCTCTGGTCACATGAGTAACCTGCCTGCCCAAGCTGATGCTGGCTTTCCTGGAGGGCCTCCTTTCTTTCTTATGGTTGTGTGTAACAGTGACAATAAATGATAATGGCAAAATAACACTGATCCATAAAAATTTAAGGATAATGTTTTTGCCATATCAAATATTCATAATCTCCAAGCTACACTGAATGAAAAACTTTCAAAATGTGGAGACCTAGCAAAAAAATCACAACTATCCATTATACCCTGCATCATCATTGCCATCATCATCATCAACCAACAGAAGATGAGCTAACATTCCAATACAAAGTCAACGTCATTCTTGTTGTCCAGTATGCTAATGGAGTTGCCCAAAGATGCTTTCCATTAATTTACAGAAGGTAAACTTACGTCCCGATACTTTTACTCAAGTACGAAATGCAGTTTTTCTACATATCTGTACAACAATCGGTAGAATATAAAATATAAAAGAATTGTAGAATAGTCACTCATCTCAGGACTCTTTCTAGGGGGAGGAGAATAAGCATTTATTTAATGTCTACTGTGAGCCAGGCACTGTGTCAACTGCTTTACAAATATCATCTCCTTTCATCCTCACAATAATGTTGGGATGTAGGTGCTATTGTTATCCCCATTTCACAGCTGAAGAAACTAAGATAGACTGAGCTTAAGTGACTTGCTCAGGGTCCCACAGTTTGTTAATCGCTGAGGTCAGATTTTGAACTCAGGTTTTTTTGACTCCAGGTCCAAACCTAGCTGCCTATCTAAACTACACTGAAAATATGAGAACAAGGTGATTATTGTCTGAAGGTTATTGCTGTCGTTTAGTTAAACATAGCAAAGTATAGAGAATAAAGAGCTGGCTTCTAAATCAGGAAGACCTGTGTTCAAATTCTGCTTTCTGTCACATACTAATTGTGTGAATGTGGGGCAAGTTATGCCCCTGGTAATTCTCTGCAATGCAGGTACTTATCTACATTGGTAGAGGAAATTGGAACCTCCTTCATTGATAAAATCATAGGTCTAGTTTAGAAAAAAACTTCTCTCTCTCTCTCTCTCTCTCCATATATATATATACAAGTGTGTGTGTGTGTGTGTTCATTTATTTATTTATGTAACTTCTTGAAGGGGAAGCTAGTACATAAAGTGCTGGGCCTGGAGTCAGGAAGACACATATTCCTGAGTTCAAATGTGACCTTAGACACTAATTGTGTGACCCTGGACAAGTTGTTTAACTCTATTTATCATAGTTTCCTCATCTGTCAAATGAGCTGGAGAAGGAAATGGCAAACCCACTCCAGTATCCTTGCCAAAAAAACACCAAATGGGGTCATGAAGAATTGAACACAACTGAAAAATGACTTAAAAACTTCTTGAAGATCAAATAACAATATACATTGTTAGATGAATAAAAATATAGTCATTGATGAATAAATACATTTTCATATATTTTGAACACCTGATCATATATGATGAATATGATTAATAAAATATGTTTGTATATTTTGAACATATGTTAATATGTGAACATATATTTGTGCATGAACATATATATATTCATGTATGAACATATGTTTTATATAACAATATATTATTATTCACCTCATTCTCATACTTTTCCATGGAGTTCAGATTGAAACGATCCTTGGACAATTCACTATCCTCCTATTCTTTTAAATTTAATGTTTTCTAGACCGTGGCTTAGATGTATAGAATAAATGCTTTTTGCAATGGAATGAAAGTATTGGGATGTTAGTTCATCCTCTGTTGTCGATAATGATGATGACAATGATAATGAGGAAGGCTATAATGGATAGAGAGCCAGTCTTAAAGCTGGTGAGATCTGGGTTCAGGACCAATTTCTGACATACTAACTATAATCCTTGGGAAGTCACTTAACTACTAAGGGCCCCAGACAATTTTCTAAGACGTAAATTGTAGAAAACATGTTAAACTTGCATCAGTAGAAGAAGCTTCCTCATGGGGAGCTCCCTATACCAATAACAATTCAGGTCTAGTTCCTCTCCCTAAATTATTGTTATTATGGTGCATTAGAAGAGGTTAGTGTGGCTGCGAAATGAATCCTGAACTTCAAAAATGAAAATTCATTTCAAAAGTATCAGTACAGAGTTGGTTATGTATGAGGTAGTGTGTGTGTGTGTGTGTGTGTGTGTGTGTGCTCTCAGGCAGAGGAAAGGTAGGGTTTGCAGAGGAGACAGAGGAGAGCTTTGTGCAGTAAGCAATGAGCAGATCCAGTCTTCTCTCTATCTCTCACTTTCCCTTGGAGGCTGAGCTTAGGAACATGCAGGGACTGCTCTCCTTCTCTCTTCTCATCACTACTTGGGCTTCCCAGGTAAGCTCTGACCAGTTGATCTTTCCACCTCAGGGGTCTGCAGAAGCACTTATTTCTTTAGGTGAGAAATGAAAAAAAAAAAAGGAAGAAGAGAAGGGGGGGCAAATGGGATGGCTCAGATGGTGTCAGGGAATCACTGGAGGAAATCTTTCATCACAATTAGCAAGCTATTTTCCACACTGGATGAAATCTTGTATTAGTTTAAGTATTGAATGAATCAAAGGTGTTTCAGGCAGGACTCTTGTTGCAATAACTAGTATCTTTCTTTCAAGGTATTTGAACAACCTTTTGGTTTTTAATCATTTTGGGAATGGGGTGGAGGAATAGGGTTTGGGGGATTCTCCTTGGTGAATCATCTCTTTGGGAAGGAGCAGCATTGCCAGGGCCCACAGTAGGGGTAAACACTGCTTCTTCATTCCCATTCCAGGCCATGGCCCAGCTTTCCACAACCTGGTTACAGAATGTTCAAAAGCCTGCTGGAAAAAACAGACTTTTGCAAACAAAAAGTTTCCGTTATGTCTGCTCCTGTTTGGAAGAGGAGTTGAGGGAACAGTTACCTCTTACAGTCCACAGCAGACTTTTCCTCTCAACATGTGTTTTTCACTTCTTCTAAAGAGCTAGGACTATTTTTGAAATATTGAAAGCTCTGTCTCCAAAGAAAAGTTTATTTTCATAAGAAAACTATCTTGTGTGGGCTTGCCATTGACTCAGTTTAAAAAACAAACAAAAAATAAAGCAAAACAAAAAACCAGAGTGGGAGTGGTAGAAATAGACCATGGCAAATTATTTGTTTGTTCTCCCTAGGAATTGATGATATACAGTCAAATCTATTTTTAAAATTCATTTAGCAGAAAACATAGGAAGGTATCCATGACTTCTTGAGAGTGGGGAATGGAATTGTCAATGGGGTGGTCTTGGAACAATCTTGTCAGAATTTTATTGTGAAAGGCAGGAGGCCTCTTAATGATGCATCATATTATAACTATTAGGATATTTTTGTTTTTACTCTTCTGGTTTTGAGGTAGAGACATTTTTTTCCTGATTGTATTTCATAGGATTTAGATCTGGAATGGACCCCAGAAGTCTAATCCAACCACCTTCACTTTACACATAGGGAAACTGCCCCAGGGAGGTTAAAGGCCACACAAGTAGTAAGCAGCAGAGCCAGATTAGAATCCAGATCTTCTGACTCAAAATCCTTTGTTCTTTCTAATCCATCATGATGCCCATTGCTTCATTAGAATGGTGCTCTTGGGGTGCCTAATAATTGTTGAACTGAGTTGAATTGGTTTAAGAGTCAAATCTAAAGGGTTGGTAATGCACAGAGAAGCTGGGGTAGGGGGAAGAGAGAAAAGATAGAGAGAGTTTGTATATCAATAATATATGTTTTTTTGGGGGGGGGGAGGGTTCCATACCTGTAATTTAGTCTGTTTGGAGAATTCTCCCTGAGGAAACTCACTCTATGTGGAATGGCAACTGTTTTTCAACTTGTCATCTTAGAGAGTTGATTCAGGCACTGAACGGTCAGGTGACTTGTCCACATGGCCACTCTGTGTCATGGTCAAGGCTTAACCCCATGTCTTCCTGACTCTGAGGCCAGCTATCTATCCACCAAGCCACATGACCTGTAACACAGCACTAGATTTTTAAAAAAATGATCACAGTTGAGAGTCTAAGAAGGAACAAAACTGAATTATATTTTATCAGTCTTGACCATAGCTGTTCAGATGGGAGTAGGAAAAAATCTAGGAAAATTTGGGTAAAAGGAGGAATTCAGATGAGCTGTGTTAAATTAGCTGCCATTTTTATAATCTGCAGTAATGACTGTTCTGGTAATGTAAATTAGCCAGAATTGCTAAATATGACCGAACTTCAATGATAAGAAAATTCTTCTGTAAGTAAAATCTGAAAGGGGGTGGGGTGGGTGGGTGTAGCAGAATAGGATTATAGATCTTAGATTTACAGCAGGAAAGAACATTATAGGCCACTGAGACCAGTTCCTTCCTTTTAGAGTTGAATCGGATAGCCGCACAACTTGTAGGTTTCTGAGGTGAGATTAGAACCCAAGTTTTCCCTTCAAGTTCAGTATACTACTCACTATATCAAGTTGCCTCTAAGGGACAGGTGAGGAAATATCATCAGACTGATCTTCGTGGATCTTTTACAAGGTATGATTTTTTGACTTTATGAGAGAAAGAAAATAAGCATTTGTTAAGTGCCTATGTGCCTAAGTGCCTAAGCACTTTACAAGTATTATTTCATTTTATCCTCACAACCAGCCTAGGAGGTAGGTGCTATTATTCCAATTTTACAGTTGAGGAAACAGAGGCAAATAGAAGTTTAAGTGACTTGCCCAGGGTCATTCAGCTAGTAGTGTCTGGGGCTGGATTTGAACTTACGTCTTTTGGGCCACCACACTATCTTTTCCCAAATGGGTCACAAAGGATCAGACACGACTGAAATGACTGAACAACAACTTTCTGACCCTAGGCCCATCCACTGAGTCACTTAGCTGCCGTCTTTTGATGGGACTCTGTTTTTGTAAATAAAATTAAAAAAAAAACTTTTGAAAGATTCATTGTGAGTATTAGACTGTGTAAATAAGTGAATTGATATTTCCCATCCTCAGAAAAGACTTTTCCAAGCTCATAAACTAGCCCTCCTTGTCAGATCCGGGTGAGAATGTCCTGAAGGTAGTTGGTAATGCACTTCTGGAAAGATGTCCAAACCAGAAAAGTAATCCATCTGGTTCCGTCACTTCTTGCTTCCTGAGTGATCTTTAGCAAGATGGCTACTTCCCTAAGCCCAGTGTCCTCATCTGTGAGGTGAGAAAGTTAGACCAGCTGCTGATCTCTTAGGTCTTTTTTTTTTCCTTTCTATTATTCTATAATCAAAAGTGATAGTTGAGATTACAGGAAACAGTGAGGTTTCTGAGGGTGATATTATAAAGTGGAAAAAGAGGATGGCATAATGTAAAGACCATTGGATAGGCAGACTTGGATTCTATATCTGACAGTTACTGACCTCAGACACATCGCTTGGCCTCAGTTTCCTCATTTGGAAAATTAGGAGTTTGGAGTAGATGATTTTTGAAGTTTCCTCCAGGTCTAATTTTCTCTGCACCTGAAATATAGTTATAGGGGAGTGCTGGAACCCCCTTCTACCAGAGATCTGATTGTTAAAATTTCAGTATTCTATTTATACCTCAGAAACCAATAAATACTACCAATCAAGGCTAGAATTGTATTGTTGATTGTCTTGGTTTAAGAATGATGGAAGAAATGTTTATAGTGCGGCTTAATCTTAAAAATCTGTTGTGCCTTTTTGGGGAGCTAGTTGTTAAACATTTAACCAGCATACCCCTGCCCATGTCCCATAACAATTTCTGTGATATGGCCCATGTGGAGTGAAAAAGAAAGATGCGAGCCCACATTATAAACCACTAGGAATTGCTTTTAAGGATGTTTTTTTCTTGAGAACCTTTTAAAAAGGAATTTGGGGGACTGATAAATCCATAACCCATCATCGATGGAGCATCAGGCATTTATGATGCTTTGGGGATGAGAGGGCTAGACAGATGCAGATGTTACCATTTTCTTCCCTACCTCACAGAATTGCAGGGGCAGGTGCAAAAGGGAGCAATTGCTCGTGATTCTGCAGGGAAATTTAAGGGTATCAGGAAGAAGCCAGGGCACTGGCATGTATAGCAGTGAATAAATTGATCAATGTATAATTCAGGGCTATGTTGTGTAACACTGGCTTGGAGAACTTATCTGCCGCTGATTATGAGTGCACTTGAGCTCATAGAACTGAAAAACCAGGCTGCTCTTTAATTGTCAAAAAAATACTTTATGGGGGCAATGGGACTTGGGCCAGGATTAAAGAATGGGTAGAATTTGGTTATATTGAGGGAAAGAGAGAAAGCACTCTAGGTGAGGGGAGGAAATGCCTAACACTTTAGTGTGATCCTTAATGGCTAATTATCTGTAAGTCCTTTTGCAGGGCGCAAGGCAACGGTCAAGCTGCTGATGGAGAGTCTGAAGCAAAGGCAACAGATGTCACTAAAGTGTATCAGAGGAAAGAGTTTTGCCATTGGCCATGCCAGTGCCCTCAGCGGAAGCCCTGGTGCTCACCTGGAGTGAGCCTGGTGAAGGACGGCTGTGGGTGCTGTAAAATCTGTGCCAAGCAGCCTGGGGACACGTGCAATGAGGCAGAGGTCTGCGACCCCCACAAAGGCCTTTACTGTGATTACTCTGTGGACAAGCCTAGGTATGAGACAGGAGTGTGTGCATGTAAGTGACATGTTTCCATCTTTCTGGCACTTGGGGCAAGGATGGGGAAGGAGCATTCTCTTCTGCGATGATGGGATAAAAAAAGAAAAAGAGCCTTTAGTTTGGGAGATCCACTCTAATATTTGGCTGCAAGCCAAGTGGACTTTCAGTCTCTACATGGATGGGCTCCATGGGGCTAAACATCAATGGGAAAGTAGGAAGAGATGCAGGTATGTTTAGGGACCTCTGAGATTTTGGTTAAATAATCAGTGATAAGAGTTTCTTAATTGCCTTTAAGGTGTGCTGCTTAAAAATGGGAAAACCATTTGAAAATGCTTAGAAGATTTAAAAGCACCATAGGAGTAAATGAATGAATCAAAACACTTTTTATTAAGCATTTATGTGCCAGGAACTATGTTGAGTTTTTTCCTAACACTTTGTTCAAACTAAATTTAGCACTTTTGTAATGAAAAAAAAAGTTTTTGATCTAGAACCGTGATTTCATGAATTTGGAAACTTTCAGCATGGACAGTTCTTCCAATAATGTGGATCAGTAATTGATCTATAACATAATTTTAGTAAGTTACCTGGGGGGACAGCTAGGTGTTGCAGTGGATAGAGCACTGGCCCTGAAGTCAAGAGGACCTGAGTTCAAATCCGGCCTTAGATCAAATACTTGACACTTACTAGCTGTGTGACCCTGGGCAAGTCACTTAGCCCCAATTGCCTAAAAAAAAAAAAAAAAAGAAAGTTGTCTAGGGTACTGAGACTTGCCTAGGACACATAGATACTATATGTCAGAAATGACACTTGAACCTATGTCAAAGTGACTGTAAGGCCTGCCTTCTATTCACTGTGACTAATTGCTTTTCTTTTATAATTTAACTTATGTAAAACCATAGAGAGGCAGCATGATATATTGGCTATCAGGAAGACCTGAGTTCAAGTTCTGACCTTGATACATATTGTATAATTATACGCAAGTGACTTAACTTTATAATGTTTCAGGAAAATGAGATTATAAAATATAGGGATTTGTCCATCTAAATTTATGGAGAGAGTTTCCATACTGGGAGCTCCTACACTTATTAAATCATAGTTCTAGGTCAACAAAATTATGAGAAATGTAGTAAAATTAAATCATATATATACAGCAAAGTTTTACAGAATGCTTTCAACAAGCATTTATCAAGCACCTACTATGTGCCTGGCATTAGGTGGTACAAGTATTATTGTGTCTCTTTTTAGATAAAGAAACTGAGGAACTTGTTTATGATCACTGTTACTAAATAAATGTCTGAGGTGGGATCCAAACCCAGATCTCCTGATTCTGAAGCCAGTGCTCTAGTAACTAACCATACTGCCTTTCATAAAGTGGAAGGAGTACTAAACTTTGAATCAGGAGACATCTGCTTCCCTTAATGAATCTAAGCATCAGTTTCTTCTTCTGTAAGATGAGGGCAATATTTGCTCTACTTACTTCAAATGATTGCTGTGAGGAAGGTGCTTTGTATACCCTTAAAGCATGAAATAAGATGTGTTGTTATTATTTTTCAGACATTTCTTTTATTCTTTGGCTTGGGTGTTTAGGTTTTCAAATGAAATAAACTAGTTAATTATGTGTTATACTTTGCTATGTGTTACAATTTTGTGTGTGACAAAGCTTGGAAAAGCTACTGCAAAGTGCTATATCTGAGCAAGCCAGCAGATGGCACCTGAAGCTTGAGCTACACCAGCTCACTACACTCCCAGACTTAATACACTCCCTAGAGCTCAGAATTTGAATTCAAATCTAGGAGTACAAAACAGTTCCATCAAAATCATAACATCAATTCCTTATTCCCGTATAGGTTTCCTGATCTTGGTTTCCCTTCTCAGAATAGCCCCAAAGAATTAACTTGCCTGGATTTCAGACTAAATAGATTTTCCTAAAGGGAAGTGGAAAGTAGAAGGGACAATACTAAAACCAAAGTGGATTGAGTGAGGTGGAGTCTGTCTCAATTGCCAATTCCCCACCTTGTCTTCTATATTATGTCCCCTGTTTTTCTCAATGGAGACAGAAGCTCCTAAAGGCCATTTTGTAAATGACTGCTATCCACTATTCACTGGTTTAGAAAAGAAAGATTTCTCCACACCACCAGCTTCCATTACTGGCCACAACGATTAACATCTGTTCATAGTTTGGCTCTTTTAGGCAAATCAGGTGATTGGCTGGCCTAATGATATCCTAAAGTTCCTGCTCATTACAGTGGCCTCCATGTCTCTTCCCCTTTGAAATAGATGCATATCTAACGCCAGAGAGAACAACCCAAAGTCCCCAGTCTGGACCTTTTAAGGTCCCACCAAAGTACAACTGACAATTGATCTCCTTTATAGCTGTCCCCCCCCATTTGTAGCTATTATATTTTCATACTTCCAGCTCTCCTGGGTGCTTAAAATCCAGAAAATGCAAGGAGAAGACAGGTGACTACTGTTTAGCAGATGGCTGCTTGAACATTGGAGATGGGGGCAGGAGAGCCACTCATGTGTAATTTTAAAAAAAAATCTCTAATTGCCCTTTTGTATATTTAGGTATTATTGTGAAAGAGCGTTCACAATGTGGAATAGTAGAGACTTTTGTATCAGAAAAGATATAGATATACTCTCTCCTATTTTTGACTGGAGGTATAAAATATTACAGCTCATTTATTCTTTGGTAATTTGGTTGTTTTCCATTTTCAGATCTCATAGCTGTAGGATGTGAACTCAACAAGGTGCATTATCAAAATGGCCAAGTTTTTCAACCTAATCCCCTGTACAAATGCCTATGTGTGAGTGGTGCCATTGGGTGTACACCCTTATTCATACCAAAGCAAATAAACAGTCAATGCTCTGGCCCCAAAGGTGGGAAAAAGTCTGACCAATCCTACTGTAGCTTGAGACTACTGCAACAACAGATATCAGCGAGCTACCAAGCAATGCCAGGTGAGTACAACTAGAGCTATGGCAAATTCCTTTTAAGCTCAACTGACTGAGCCAAAAATAAATGTTTGCTGCCATTTTTCTTACTATTTACCATCCTAGTTTTGCTTTATGTAGCCTGGTGCCTTGTACGTAGTAGGTGCCTAATAAATATTTGCTGATTTGATTGATTCTAATTTTGTTGTTGATGGTGTGTGGCCACAGATCTGAGTGTTTACCTTTTATTACTATGGACTTTGAGCCCTTGATCACAGATCCCTGACCAACTGGGTTGAAAGGGACCCGTGAGATACCGCCTCATCTAGCCCTTTGCCTTTAGGCAGGTAAATTTATGAATCATATGCAAAGGATATTTTATTTTCTTTGGTTAAGAATTCTAGCCTTTAAAATAACACTTTGAATCAGGAAGCTTCTTTTGATGTTTCATCTTCCACCCCCTTCTTGAAACTCCTTTCCTCTCATCCTGTCTTTTAATAAAAGAATGCTTGTCATCCATGCATCTTCTGGGAAATTTTTCCAAGATTTACTTGCACTGCTATGTTATAGTCAATTATTACTATGTCTCAGTGACAAATATCTAAAGATACATTTTCTATGTGAAATCAAAAGAAACTGAGATGCTGTAACTAAGTTAAAGATAGGCTAGGAATTGGAAATATTGTTTGATTGTATCTGTATTATCTGAACCTGTAAATACATGTATGTGTACATATGTGCATATATAGACATATGTGCATATATGTATATACACATATATGCATATATAAATGTATGAATATTTGCAAATATACATGTATATGTGTTTAATTTCTTAAGACCAAGTCTCCCTATCATACCTAGGCTAGAAAAATAGTGGCTTCTTATGGGCATGATCCCAGTACTGATTGACATGGGAACTTGGACATATTCCATTTCTGATCTGGGCCATTTTGCCCCTCCTTAGACATCCTGGTGCCCCCTTCACTCAGGGGCTCCTCATGTTGTTGCTGTACTCAGTGTGGATGACTTTCAGCACACTGCAGCTCAGAACTCCTGAACTCAAGCCACCCAGCTACTTTGACCTCCCCTGAAATGGAGATTACAAGTGTAAACTATTACACCTGGCCCAAATACATTTTTCTGTATAAAACTATTTTGATACTAAATTAATTTTTTCATTTATTTTGAAAACAGGCACAAAATCACTAGCCTATAACTATTACTTATATGTGTGCACATTTTACTAACCCACCTTTCCCTGCAGAAGGTATGTTTATAATCACAGACTTTGATAGAAACTGGTTATTGATGAAAAGAAGGAAGGAAACAGTTATTTAAGTGTCTACTATGTACCCAGAACTAGTTTGCTAAACACTTTATAAATGTAATCTCAATTTCTCAACAACAACCCTGGGAAGTAGGCACTATTATTATCCCCATTTATAACTGGGGAAACTGAGGTAAACAGAGGTTAAAGTAATTTGCCCAGGGTCGCTCAATTAAGTGTCTAAGGCTAGATATGAACTCGAGGCTTCTTGACTCCAGGTCAGGGCTCTACCTACCGTGGTCCTAGCTCTCTCATAAACATTATGTCATTAACTCCTCACAACACTCCTGGGAGGTAGGTGCTATTGTTATCCCCATTTTACAGTTGAGGAAACTGAGGCAACATAGCAGGTAAATGACTTGCCCAGGGTCACATAGCTAGTAAGTGTCTGAGGCCAGATATGAACTTGAGTCCTCTTGACCCAAGCCTAGATTCTATCCCCTATGCCACCTGGTTGTTTATTGATAGACATTAATGGTCTTCAGTCCAAGACCGTGGCATGCCAGGACATAGGAGAACCCAGATCGTATACAAATAAATCTCCCATAAGGCACCAGAAGGAACAATCATAAAGAAAACCAAAGTGAAAAGGCTATAAAGTCCTCTATCCATTCAAAAGTTCACAAGAAGATTGCCAGAAACCTGTGTAGGCTCTGAGCAGAGAAAAGCCAGGTTAGACAGAAGGCACAGTGCAAGAGACAAGGTCCCACTAGCCTGCACTAGAGCCACAGAAGGAGACAAAGTTGGGTCAGCACCCAAGCACTTAAGCCACAGCGGGGGACGGAGCCAGATCAGCATCGGAAGGCACAGACCAGAGCCCAGGCAGCCCATTCTACTACTGTAAACTGTAGCAGGAGTCAGGGCCAGAGAAGACTCTGGGAAGCCCACACCCAAGTCAGAGCAGGAAAAAGTAGCAGGGCATTACCTGGAGAGCAAAGCAAAGCATTAGAGTTCTTGCAGGATATCTGCTACTAATGCATGTAATTGCAGTGTCAGGGTTACAACAAGGGACAGAGCTGATTCCAGGTGAGGTGAAACAGAAATGATCAAGGCCAAAAATGTAATTGAACTAATAGGAGACTAAGCCAAATCCCAGGAATTCCTGTAAAGGGTGGGTTGTCATCTTATCCATTGCATCTAGGACTAAACAGGGCTTGCTAGCATCATCTAAGAGTATGAGATGGGATAGAGTGCTGGGCCTCATCCTCCTGAATTCAAATCCAGCCTCAGACACTTACTAGCTGTGTGACCTTGGGCCAGTCATTGTACCCTGTTTGCCTCAATCTGTAAAATGAGCAGGAGAAGGAAATGGCAAACCATTACAGTATATTTGCCAAGAAAATCCCAAATGAGGTCATGAAGAGTTGGACACAACTGAAAATGACTGAAAAATCATAAGAGTTTGGCCCAAGTGGAAAAGAAATCCAGAAACTGAGGCTGGCGATATGGGTAAACCGAAGAAAATGTTGAACACAATGAAAAAATAGTACGGACCAAGAAAAGCCCTAAAGGAAAACCCAGAAAAAAAAGAGTAAGTCCACAATAAATCTGATTAGAGCATCAGAGAAAAGAATGACCTGGCCACAAGGATTACAGAATATCTAGAAGAAATGAAGCAAGACATAAAATGTAATGTTACATGAAATGAGAGCTAGAGAAGAAAGAATAGAAAAGAGAACTAATAGGCTATAATAGAAAATGGTGAACTTTATCTAAAAATTAGGCTCCCTGGAAACTAAAGTGGGTCAAAGAGAAAATCAAAAGAATGGGGGAAAAAACCTCCAGGAAATATAAATACTCTAACAGACATTAAGTGAGATTATAACTCAACCTGAGCTAGAATCTTTTTTTAAGGGTTTTTGTTGGTAATTGGATTTATGCACCTTCTTGAATTTTCACCAACTGTAAGTTGGTTTAAGTGCCAAAGTATTATAGGGATAAGTGTATACATAGCTATGGTGTGACGTATAAAAATTTGAGAGACATAATTTCTGGGTAATTAATCATTTTATTAATCATGTTAGCAGATAATAAAAGAGGTCAGTGGAACTCTCGAATGCCAAAGACCTCTCATGGAACCCACTCAATGCTTATGTGCCCTTGGATAAGTGGGTGTTCCTGAGGATGACAATCAACTCTGATTGGTTAACAAGTAATGAGAGAATGAATATTATAATGAGAGGTGGGCTTATTCTAATGAGGGTCTGGGGGATGTGACTCTGATCACTCAGTCTTGGTCAAAGGGACTTATCTATACCCATATCACCCTATCTAGGGTAATCTAGATAAAAAGGGGAATCCACTTTTACCCAGACTTGTCTGAGTAAAATATAATGGGCCAGAATCCACCAATTCACCTAAACTAAAATTTCTTTACCTTTTGAACAGATCTGAATTTTCCAGTTTGGTCATTTTTGCCCAAGATTTCATCTCATTGTGAGCCTTGTACTTCAAAAGCTACCTGAATAATCTACAGGGCCTGATTTCTAAATGAGGAAAGGAAGGGGAAAAACCTTAGTCCTAATTCAATAATTGGCCATTAATATAGAGAGAAATGAATATTTCTCTCAATGGAAAGGAAAATATAGCCTGCGATGTAGTGAGGGAGCTAGGCTGCTCTACCCTCTTGACTCTACCACCCAAAGACCTTACATTTTAATGAGGGAAGACAGTACATATAGAGGAAGCGGAGGGGATGGGGAATGGGCGCTGCAGATGAAGATAACCAGCACAGGGGCAGGAGAGAAGTCTGGAATGCAGCCTGGAGAGGAATGAGACATGGGTGGTTTGGCTGTCCCCAAATGGGGGCTCCGGGAAGAGCCATCCAATCGGAAGGAGAGGCTGCAGGGGTGGAGCCTACTTCCAATGTTCGAATTCCAGGGTTAAAGGGAGCTTCAGGATGAGGAGCTAAGTGGAGACCTTCCTGGCCTTGGTATTCTTCTTAAACAGAGTTCCTGGTGATCTTGTCAGTTTCCATGGTTTTGATGGTCCCCTCTATACAAATAACCCCCAGATTTACGTATCCAGGAAGTCTCTCTTCTGAGCACCACTAATTGTCATCTGGACTTCACTGTCAGTGCATCCCATTGATATCTCAACCACTACACAGCTAGAACAAAACCTATTATCTTTCTTCCTAACTACCTTATTTCCACCTTATTTCAGTTTTCAAGGTTTCTAACCTTGGAATCATCTTCAGCTCATCATTGTCCCTCTCTCTTCACTTTGTCTTGATTTTATTTCTATTAATATCTCTCCCATCAATTCCCGTTTCTCTACTCACCTTGCTACCACTTTACTTCAGGCCCTTATCACCTCTTACTCAAACTATTGAAATAGACTCCTCTCTGGTCCCCTAGTTTCCAATCTATTCCCTCTCCAGTCCATGCTCCATACAGATGCCAAAGCACAGGTCTGACCATATCATTCCCGCTCAAGAAATTTCTGTGACTCTTTTATCGTTTCTAGCATGTAATACAAATTCCTATGTTTGACTTTTTAAACTCTTTACAATCTGGCACTAACCTATCTTTCTGGTCTTATTTAACATTTCTTTCACCCATGTACTTGAGTTTCAGCTGGAATGGCCTATTTGCTGTGGAAATGTGAAATAACTGTACATGCTGAAGAAATTAGTCCTGTGTATAAGTGCCTTTTAGGGATATTTGGAAAAGGAACTCTAGTCAGGGAAACGAGTTTTATGTGGGTTTAAAGAATATCTAGTTTCATGAAGGGAGCAATCTCAAGAACTCAATCAAATCAGTTAACTTAGAAGTTCATTAACGCATTGTAACTATCTTGTCTTTTAATGCTGGCCTCTAGATTGCTTAGCCCGCCACCTTTCACAGTACATCAACATCTCTGAAATCATAAGCCACTTAAAGCACATGTTGTTTCTTATTGTGGCTCCAGAACCTCTTAAAGTCTCTTATTTTTTTAGAAATACCCTGAAGGCTCATAATACTATTGTCCTCAGGATCCATATACTGTGGCTGGGCTATCTTATAAGTCAGGGATTCCCAACATTTTCCATAGCTCTTGGCTTTCAGTTAACTTCCACACAATCCTTATTAAATAAAAAGGAAGTAATTTCTAGAACTTACTATAAGTAATGATATATTATATAGATTTGTGTAATATACAATGTGGTATATATTATATGCTATTCATAACTATACTGTACACATAAGAAATATTCATTTCAATAGGATGATAGTTATTTACCAAATTTCCCAATGCTGTCTTGACAACCTTCTTGTGGGAGTATGTGTCTCCCAGGTTGGGATCCCTTGATGTAAGTGAAACACCCTTGTAACAAGGTCTTTTAGGTACCTGCATATATCTAAGCTCCTTCCCTTTGGGTGGAGTCCAGAAATGTCATATCATTTATGTAATTCTGCTTTATAGGTAAGTTTTCTGGGTATTGTTGAGGATACAGAACTGTATTTAGAGTCAGGAAGACCTGAATTCAAATCTAGCCTCAGATACTTACTATGCTGTCTGACCATGGTCAAATCATTTAGCCTCTGTCAGTCTCAGTTTCTTCATCTGTAAAATGGGGATAATAATAGCACTTACCTCCCAGGGTTGTTGTGAGAAGTCTTTTGCAAACACTAAGGCACTATATAAATGCTAGCTATATTATTATTATTATTGTTATTGCTATAATTTTTAATTACTTTCTATATACAAGACATTGTGCTGGGTTTTAGGGAAACAAAAATACAACATAGGCCTTGCTCTCAAGGAACTTACAATACAATGGAGGATGGGGAGTACATGGGGAGAGAAACGCTTCAATAATTATACCATTAGGAAGAGCCATTCATATAAAATGTTAGTATATACACTTGGGACTGAAGCTGAGAGCAGCAATATTAAAAGAAAAGCAGTGTTGTAGAGTGCTGAGGCCTTTGAACCGGGGTTCAAATTCAGACTCTGCCCCTTATTACATAAATCACATAAGCTCTCAGGGATTTAGCTTCCTCAAATGTACATGAAAAATGAAAGGGATGTATTAGATGATCTCAAGGTTCCCTGCCAGCTCTAACTTTGTGTGAAACCAGTCTACTGAGATCTTAGATCATAGATTTAGGGATGGGAGAGAATTTTAGACATCAGTCCAACTCTCTCATTTTACAAATGATGAAAGTGAGCTCCTGAGAGGTTACTAATTCTCCCATGGTTTCACAATGATTAAATCATACTTCACCTGGTGTATTTATGCTCAGTTTGGGGTACTCTGGTTTAAGGATGACATTGACAAGTTGGAGAATGTCCAGAGCAGGGCAACCAGGATTGTGAAAGGCTTTGGGATCGCATCACAAAGAGGAGCAGTTGAAGAAACTGGAGCTATTTTGCCCAGAGAACTCTTCAGTTGGATATGAATAGATGTTTGCAAGTGTTTGAAGGATGTCACATGGAGGAGCCTCTCAAAATCCAATGCTTTTTTTTTTCTAATACCCTCAAGGCTCATGGTACTGTGGTCCTTAGGATAAGAATTATTAGATTCATTCTGTTTGGGCAGAACCAGGGACAATGGGTTGGAAAAAAGCAAATTTAGGCTTGATGTCAGGAAAGATTTCCTCACAATTACAGATATTCAGAAGTATAATGATCTGCCTCAGAAACAGGGAATTCTCCCTCTTCAGAGGTCTCCAAGCAGAGAATGGCTGATCACTTGCTGGATTGTTATAGTAGGGATTCTTTTCATAGATGGGTTGAACTAGATGGCTGCTAACGTCCCTTCCAGGGCTCAAACTCTATGTAAAGTTTCAGAACTGAGATCCAAACCCAGGTATTCTGGTTGTCGGGTTAGCTGGGCTTTATGTTACAAATGGAGTTTAATCTACCTCCCTGAGTCCCTCTGCTTTGATTAACTGAATTACAGTATTAATGAACCTTGATGGATTTCAATACTTTACACATATGGACTCACAAAGACACACATCCTCTCTCAAATCAGTGTTATTTATTTATATAATGGGGCAGCCAGGTGGTACAGTGGATAGAGCGCCAGGCCTGGCATCAGAAAGATTCATCTTCTTGGGTTCAAATCTAGCCTCAGACAATTACTAGCTGTGTGACCATGGGCAAATTACTTTAACCCTGTTTGCTCAGTATCCTCATCTGTAAAATAGGCTGGAGAAGGGAATGGCAAACCACTCCAGTATCTTTGCCAAGAAAACCCCAAATGGGGTCATGAATAGTTGGACACAACTGATAAACAAGTGAACACACACACACACACACACACACACACACACACACACACACTTAATTCCAGATGGCCTGTGTTAGAATCTAGCTTTTGCTTGGTCAGCATAAAATTATGCAATGACATAATGCTCTCTGCTTACAAGTGCTAACTTTTTTTTTAAACTGCTCTTCCAAATTTCCTGCTTTTTAAAAACATGTACTTTGTTAATCAGATTTCTAAACTGCATCTCCTGGCTAAATTTTAAGTGATGAGATGCACTGGATTCACAACAACTTATCTTTCCTTTATTTATTCCAGATGTGCCAGGCTTTTACTCTCCTTCCTGCATTGAGGTCTTTAAACTGCTGTCTACCTTCCAGGTACCCATATTTCTGCCCCCTTTCCATCATCTATATACATATTTCAGATGATATTGTTGTAAGATACACAGATATATGTATATACATATATATGTATATATGTGTATATATATATGTGTATATATATATATATATTTGGTTCAAGAGAGTATGTAATTCAAAGCAGCTGATGTTTCTCAGATGACTAGAAGTAAAATTTCTCCTTTTTTTCTTTCAAATTGACGTCTTGTCATATTGTGCCCAGAATTTTTCACAGAACAGCTAAATGCAGGTTTAAGGTTTTAAAATATTAATATTTTCCTATTCTTTTTCAATTAAAGACATGCTTTGGAGTCTCTGAGAATACCAGCATGTAGCTTGTTCAAAATGAATGAGCTTGACTCTGTGTGATGTGCATGAGTTCACCTGGATTGACATAGCAAGCTCCCACTGGCTTTACTTGGAGATGGAACAAGTATGATGTCCCCTGCCCTCCACCAAAAACAAAACTAAGTCAGATCAAACCAGAAGCAGCCAGTGGAGGTTGCAACAATAGTCCTACACAGTTGGAATGGGAGAATTTGACTGAATTGGAGGTTCAGGGTTTAAGGCTGTATATCAAGGATTTCGTGATGTGCGAGTAAAAGACTATTTTCTCAGTCTTTAGTCAGTTTCAAAAGCAAAAGTCACTTCCCTTCCAAACTATTGGAAAACCTTCTAATGAATTTAAACAACAAGGCACAAATTAGGGAGAAATACTATGCTTCAAGATTAGGCATCTTGGCCCACAAAATACTTTCATAGATCATGAAATTTCCTATTAAGCTTACATCATTCTGATTAACATCTTGCTTTCTCCATATCCTATTAACATCTATTTTAATGTTTGTTCTTTAAGAGATCAACTTAGGAAGGAGGAAAGGATTGTGGTTGGATCTGTAGGAGAAACAAGCTATAAATCAGAATATGGCCAGGTTCAATAGCTGGAGGATAGTCTAGATCAGGGGTGGGGAACCAGCGACCTCAAGGACACATGTGGCCTTCTAGGTCCTTGGGTGCAGTCTTTTCACTGAGTCCAATTTTTACAGAGCAAATCCTTTTATTAGGGGGATTTGTTCTATGAAGTTTGGATTCAGTCAAAGGGCCGCACTTGACTCTAGATAGAAGGAAATAAATTAAGAAAAAAAGAGGCTGCAATTTTGCCTCAAAGGTTATTTTTTTTAAGATCCAGATAACATTCCTATTCATAAAAGAAATTGGTTTGTTGAAATTTATCTGAGAATTTGGGGAGTGGGATAAAGGGATGTAGAACTACTTTTCCAAAAATTAAGCTATTATGGGAGTTTATTTGGGTAACTGAATGATTAAGACAGAACTGGAAATTAATGATCAGCAGTCTTTTTTTTTCTCCTTTCTATTCTAGTGTATAAGAATCTCCCACTTTTCTGGAAGAGGAAGTGCCTTGTGCAGGCCACAACATGGACGCCTTGTTCTAGAACATGTGGCCTAGGAATATCCAATAGGGTGACCAATGAAAACAGTCACTGTGAAATGAGGAAAGAGAAAAGACTGTGTTATATTCAGCCTTGTGACAGTAACATATTAAAGGCTGTGAAGGTAAGTTTTGACTTGAAGAAAAGCACATTTTGTGGTCCTGCTGATAACTGACCCTAGATGGTTAGAAACTGAGCGGGAAAGGACCTCAGAGATCACCTTTCTGTTTCATTTTACAGATAAGGAAACTGAGGCCTGTAGAAGTAATGTAACTTGCCCAAGATCACATAGATATTTAATAGCAGAGCTGGGATTTGAATTCAGGCTCTTCCATCTATTTTTTAATTACAATTTCCCCTCCCCACTCCCTGCCCAAATAGTTAAGTAAAATCCTTTTCCTTTCCCCCCTCAACTTGTTAGTTTTTAAAATTTCACTTTCTGTGTCTTTTATTTTTTTTATTTTTAACATGTGTTTTTAAAACTTTGGGTTACAAATTTTCTCCCTTCCTCCCTCCCCACACACCCTCATTGAAAAGGCAAGCATCTCGATACAGGTTATAGATGTGTAGTCATGCAAAACACTTCCATAGTAGTCCTGTTGTGAAAACCCACGTATATTTCCCTTCATCCTATCCTACCCTCCATTTATTCTATTCTCTCTTTTGACCCTGTCCCTCCTCAGAAGTGTTTTGTTTTTGATTATCCCCTCCCCCAATCTGCCCTCCCCTCTATCAACCCCCTGCTCTCTTGTCCCCTTCCCCCCTTATTTTCCTGTAGGGTAAGATAGATTTCCATACCCCATTGGGTATGTTATTCCCTCCTTAAGCCAAGTCCTATGAGAATAAGATTCACTCATTCCCTCTCACCTTGCCCCATTTCCCCTCCACTGTAAAAGCCTTTTCTTGTCTGTTTCATGTGAGGTTTACCTCATTCTACTTCTCCCTTTCTCCTTCTCCCAGTATAATCCTCTCTCACCCCTTAATTTTATTTTCCAGATATCCCCCTTCATCTTCAACTTACCCTGTGCCCTCTATCTATCTATACATACATATAATTTTTTCCCTCCCACTACCCTAATACTGACAAAGGACTCATGAGTTATAAATATCATTTTTCCCTGCAGGAATGTAAACAGTTCAACCTTAATAAGTCTTTTATGATTTCTCTTTCCTGTTTACCTCTTCCATGTTTCACTTGAGTCTTGTATTTGAAGGTCAAATTTTCTATTCAGCTCTGGTCTTTTCCACAGGAATGCTTGAAAGTCCCCTATTTCATTGAATGACCATTTTTTACCCTGAAGGATTATACTGGGTTTTGCTGGGTAGGTGATTCTAGGTTGTAGTCCTATCTCCTTTGCCCTCTGGAATATCATACTCCATGCCCTCCGGTCCCTTAATGTAGAAGCTGCTAAATCTTGTGTTATCCTGATTGTGTTTCCACAATACTTAATTGTTTCCTTCTGGCTGCTTGCAACATCTTCTCCTTGACCTGGGGATTCTGGAATTTGGCTATAACATTCCTAGAAGTTTTCCTTTGAGGATCTCTTTCAGGAGGAGATTGGTAGATTCTTTCCATTTCTATTTTGCCCTCTGGTTCTAAAATATCAGGGCAGTTTTCCTTGATAATTTCTTGAAAGATGATGTCCAGGGTCTTTTTTTGATCATGGCTTTCAGATAGTCCACTAATTTTTAAGTTCTCTCTCCTGGATCTATTTTTGAGGTCAGTTGTTTTTCCAATGAGATATTTCACATTCTCTTCTATTTTTTCATTCCTTTGGATTGTTACAGTGCCTTGATTTCTCAAATTGTCACTAGCTTCCAATTTCTCCATGCTAATTTTTAAGGAAGTATTTTCTTCAGTAAGCTTTGGACTTCCTTTTCCATTTGGCCAATTTTGCTTTTTAGGGCATTCTTCTCATTGGCTTTGACCTCTTTTGCCATTTGGGTTAGGCTATTTTTTAGGCTGTTATTTTCTTTAGTATTTTTTTTGGTCTCCTTTAGCATCACTCTCAGTTTTTCCTCTACCTCTTTTACTTGCTTCTCAAAATCCTTTTGGAGCTCTTCCATGGCCTGGGACCAATTCATATTTTTCTCGGAGGCTTTGGATGTAGGAGCTTTGGCTTCATTGTCTTCCTCTGGTTGTATGTTTTGATCTTCTTTGTCATCAAAGTAAGATAATATAGTTTGACTCTTTTTGCGCTGCTTGCTCATGATCTCGGCCAATTACTTGAGTTATAAACTCTTTGTTAAGTTAGGAGTCTGTTTCCAGTGTGGAGAATGTACTGTCCCAAGCTTCAGGGGTTTTGTGCAGCTGTTTTCAGAGACACTTCTAGGGACCTGTAAATCTCCAGTTCTTCCAAGGTGCAATGATAAGGGGTGAGGTGTTTACTCCTTTCCTAGCCTGTGCTCTGGTCTATGAGCACTCTTTTCTGTCTTGGAACTGTGAGGAGGGTTTCCTCTCCACAGCCACTACAAGCTCCACCAGGTCAGCACTCCTCCTTGCCCCAGGACCGCCACCCAGAACTGTGACCCAGATCCAAGCACAGGGCAAAGCAAGAGAATCCTGCACCAGCAGAGAGATCTCTGCAATCCCCCTCTGATCAGCCATATGATTCCCCCTCAGTCTGTGGGCTGGAAGCTCAGGAGGCAGCCGCCACCCCAGGGCCACACCCTGTATAAGTAAACAAAGTAAAAGGGATGGGATATTCTTCAAGTGAAGCTATATGGTTATGAATTATGGAATAACACAATTTTGAAAGAAATAAAATTCAACCAAAATGCAAATGCAAGCAAAAACCAAAGAGATACTGAAAAACTGAAGAGATACATGGTGGGAATGAGTAACCTGCAGTCTGTTGCAACAGAAGAATCAACTGAATGGGGCTGGAAACCCACAGCTCTTCTCTCTCACCACTGTAGTCACAGACTTTTCCCACTGACCTTCCAAGTTGTCTTTGGCATTCATGGATTGAGAAGTCTGGAAACCACCACAAGCTGCCTGCGATTCAGTGCTCTGAGGCCTGCTCTAGGGTCGCTGCGGCCTGCGCTCCCACACCAAACTGTGCTCCTCTCCCAGCCAGGAGAGATATACCTTTCTGATCAACCATCCAGGTTGTCTTGGGCTGGAAATTTGTTTCACTCTGTCTTTTTGTGGGTTCTGCTGCTTAAGTATTTGTTTAGAGCCATTTTTTATAGGTATTTGGAGGGGTTTGGGGGAGAACTCAAGCAAATTACTGCTTTTACTCTGCCGTCTTGGTCCCACCCCCCCATTTTCTATGTCTTTGTAAGAAGGATTTGTTTTCCTTATTCTTTATTCTCTTTCCTCTCTTCTATACTTCTATTTTTTTATTTTAAGTCCCTTATATTTATTCTTTTAGTTTCTATATTCCTCATGGAATTAAAGCTTCTAAGGTACCTATTTTGAGTTCCCTTTTCTAAAGAATTTTGTAGATTTTGTCCCCTGGATGGCCATTTTTTCTGGTGATAGCAAGTGTAGAGAAGTACTGTCATATGGTAGGAATTTTCCCATGTTCCTGATTATATAGTTCATTACTACTCTTTGCTTTCCATATTATCATTTTTCCTCTATATACGATGAAATGAGTCCCTGCCCTCCTGCTCTTCTGGGTACTACTTGCCCCTCTGGATTCCCCTTCTCCTAAGGTAGGATTAGAAGTGTCTCTAAACACCAAATCCCTGCAGATTATATCCACTGTAAACTCCTCCAACTCCATTTTGAGAGTACCTCTCTTCCTCCATGGGGAAGTTCTTCAGAGGGACCCTGTCTCACTATTGAAATAACATTTCTCCATTTTTTCCCACTTCAAAAGTTCCCTTCAAAAGGGAAGGGAACAGGCATTTATTAAATACCTATATGACAGGCATTCTATTAAGTGCTTTATAAATAATATCTCATTTGATCCTCACAATGACCCTCTGGGGCAGTTACTATTATCCTTATTTTACAGTTGAGGAAACTGAGGCAGACCAAGGGTCAATTAGATTTTCTTGATCCTAGGCCCAGCACTCTATCCACTGTGCCACTTGCTTTGTCCTTCCCTTTGCCTTCTCAGCCATTCTCCTGTGGGCCCCCTGCTTCCTAAATGACTACAGCAGTGACTACTTTGTCTTTAGAGTTTACCATTTACTTGATGAGGCACATTGCATGCATATTCCCCTCTACCTTTTTCCTTTCCTTTTTGGTTTTATGTGCCATCACCTTATGTAGTTTACTCTCCAGAAAACAAACAAATGAAACAAAGACTTTGATTCATGGCAGGTAGGGTGTGGTGAGGTTTAGGCCATGATGTTTTAGTCCTCTTCCTCCACCATCACTTGTATTTGACTTCTGATTTCACCCGTCTTCTTGTGTGCTTTTAGAAAGAAATCTAATATTTTTTGTTATTGTTGTTGTTGTTAAATCCCATAAGTGTCTTCCTCTTTCTAGTTTTTATCCCTCCCTCCCGCACTGAGTAATTTTGTTAGCTCTGCCTTCTTTTGCTGCTGTATTTGTTTACCTTTTTGTGTTTTTGTTGTTTGGGATATTTATCAGGCAAATAACTTGCTAAGTTCTGGTTTTCTTTGTAGGATTACTTCAAGTGTCTCTTTTTAAAAATTGAATATCCATCTTTTTTCATCAGGCTGGGTATGCCACCTCCTGGAGGGTGGTGAGTGGCAACTTGAACTCCTTTGCTCTTTGAAACATTATTCACTTCCACCATTGATTTCTACAAGGTACAGAATAGGCTCGTGTTATTCAAATCTTCTTTCCATTTGAATGTCTTTATCCTGATCATTTATATTTGTGGTAATTGGAATTATTAAATTTAACCATTATGTGTCTTGCAGTCTGCTGCATGGATTTTTTTCCCCACCTGGAGGGAGGTCTGTGGATTCTTTGGATTAATACTGTTTTCTGTGTTCCAAAGTTCTGGGCAGTTTTCTTGTATTATTTCTTGCATTATGGTGTTCAGGTTTTTTAACTTCTGTTCTTCTGGTAGATTTATAATCCTTACATTGTCTTTATCTTGGGAGATCAATGTTTTGTTTATATAGAGATCAAATTTTTTTTTTTTTGCCTCTTCTGATTCTTTGGTTAAGTTCGCCAATATGAATTCAAGTTTTTTCTCTTGAGACAATTATTTCTGGCCATAAATTCTTCCACAATTCTTTCTCTCAAGCTTTTTCAGGAACACCCTGTTTGTGGTTCCATGCTGTCTTGAAAATTCACAGTAGCTTCTGCCTTATCAGGTGTTGATTAATTTTTCTATCTTATATTCATTCATAGATGTCTGGACTCCTTTGGATGGTCCAGATCCCACCTTCCACTTCTAACAATATTTTCTCTATTAATCTGCTTGTGCTCAAGATCTTTGAGTTTTCTTCCTGCTGGGATCTGGGATTAAGATAATTTCAATTCTTTTCCCTCTTATATTAACTCTATTGCTCACTTTCTGATTCCTTTACCTTTGTAAATTTCCCTGGAGACAGATCTTTAAAGCTGTCTCAGCCTCCTCCTACTCTGGCAATTCATATTTTATTGTTCTCACCCTCTGCCTCCAGTTCTGAAAGAATAAAAGTAGGTACAGTAGATGTCAGTCCCCTTTTCTTTAGGGCTGGTAGATCCACATACATGCTGCTATCCTGCTCCAGTTCTCTTCTTTAATTCTGTGGCACAGCACTGTAGTAACATAGAGAAATGCCACATTACAGACCCAGCTAGAAGAAGCTTCTACCCTTGGTTTTCCACAGTGGGGTAGGATGGAGTTCTAAGTCCATAGGTCACTTGGTATAGAGCTGCCAGAGCACAATGACTGATGAGGGAGTCCTGAGTGAGCCTATATTAGATTAGCCTTCTCTGCACTTCAGGTTGTTACCTTATTTATCTTCTGTGCATGGGAGAGGTTTGAAAGATAATGAAAATCAAAGAAATAGCCAGTCCTTTATCTTGTTGGTCACATGACCTGGAAGTTATGTAGACTCCCCCACTCTCCTTGCCCCCATATTTCCTCTTCCATTGGCTTCTCATGATACTATTTTCTCTTATTTTTTTTCCTCATCTTATCTCAATTTCTTTGTCTGGATCATTATAGTTTCTTTCTTAACATGGCTCTATTTTCCAGGGATGTCTTTGGTCATATCTTCTTTTTCAACATCCTCTTCAATGATGATCTCAACTGCTCCCTAGTTGGGAGACCATGGGGCCCCAGTATCTTTCCTAAATACATAACAAATGTATGTGTGCATGTATATGTATTTCCTAATCTTTTCAATGTGGGAACTCCTATCCCACACTACCAACTACTCTACCACAGGCATCTCAAATTCAGCATGTCCAAAACAGAATTTATTACCTTCCCCTGTATTACAACTCTCACCCCTAGTTTCTCTTTTCTGTTGAGATCATCACCAATTTATCAAACTTAAAAGATTCATTTGAATTACTCACTTTCTTTCCTGCACTCTCCCCACTTCCGTATCTAATCAACTGCCAAGTCCTGTGGATTTGACCTTTACATCTCTTTACATCCATCCCTTTTACTTTACTAGAAAGACCACTACCTACCACCTCACCTGGACTACTGACTGTATAAACAGAACTGGATTCCATGTTTCAATCTCTCCTCTCTCCAATGCTTCCTTCACACAGTTAACAAAATCTTCCTAAAGCATCCTCCCCAGCTAGAAAATCTTCAGTGGCCTATGGGATAAAATAGAAACCCCTGAGCCCTGCATCTGAAGCTGCACAATCAGATTTCAATCTACCTTTTTGGGCTCTTCACACTCCTCCCCCTCCACTTCCAACATCCTTTTTTGTCCCTGGCTTCTGAAGCCAATATTCCATCTCTCTTCTTGTCCTTGTCTCCTTACAATCTTCGGTTTAGGAGCTACCATGAAGTCTTCCTGATCCCTCCCCCACCCTCATTTTTAGCGCTCTCTCCCTTCTCAAATTGACTTGTATTACTTGTGTACAGATTGACATGGTGCATCTTTCCTGTAGAAAAGAAGCTTTTGAAGGCAGGAGCCATTTTTTGTTTTTTATCCTCAGCACCTATCATGTGACTTGAATATTAACAAATGATGACTTGAATTCTACTAACTGGGGTATAACAGCTTTAGAGTGAAGGAATAGGCAAGGACCCCAGCTCTCAGGTGACAGGTCACTGTAGGAAGAGGAAAAAAGGGACCATTCATATTTGTTTCTGAGGCTACTACAAACATTCTTGGGACAAAGGATGTTAAAAGTTGAGAGAAGACTCAGTCAAATCCTTCCTCATCTAGAGGAAAAGCTAATGACTTACTCAAGCTGTTATTTGGTGACAAGGTCAGCCAGATTTACGATAAAGATCAAATGACTCAGTCCAGTGCTGTTTCCACGACACCACACTGCTCTCCTTAACATTCATTTATTCCTTTATTCAACAAACATTAAGCACCTACTATGTGCAACGTACTATGCTTTTTGTTAGCAATAACTGTAAACTGCAACTAGGTGGTGCAGTGGATAAGACTGTCAGATCTGAAGTCTGGAATACTTCTCTTCCTGAGTTCAATCAGCTGTGTGACCCTGGGCAAGTCATTTAATCCTGTTTGTCTCAGTTCTTTATCTGTAAAATAAGCTGGAGAAGAAAAAGGCAAACCATTCCAGTACCTTTGCAAAGAAAATCCCAAAGGAGGTCACAAAGTGTTGGATGTGATTCAAATGATTAAACAACAAAAACTGTAAACTAGGATATATATCTAAATAGCAATGGTTTTCTAAAATAGCACCCTCTTTCAATTCAAATTTTTAAAATTTCCTTTTATTTGCTACTTTATTTTTTAGATACCAAAAGGAAAAACATGCCAGCCTACTTTTCAACTTTCTAAAGGACAGAAACTTTCTTTTTCGGGATGCTCAAGTACTCAGAGCTACAAACCAACTTTCTGTGGAAAATGCTTGGATAAGAGATGCTGCATTCCTAATAAGTCTAAGATGATTACCATACAGTTTGATTGCCCAAATGAAGGGTCATTTAAATGGAAAATGATGTGGATCACCTCTTGTGTATGTCAAAACACCTGCAGAGATCCAGGGGATATCTTTTCTGAGCTAAAGATTCTATAAAGAGCTTTAATTAAAAATGGCAGTAAATATTAAATATTAGTGTTAGTCTAAAAGCATAATCTTTACTACACCAAATAATTCTTCCAATAATTTGAGTGGCTAAAAAAGTGAAAAAAAAAATGCATTTATGATGAAAAGAGTAAGGATAGATGTCTAGTCATATTTAATTGTGTATAATTTGAATTTTTGGAAGTTCCTTTAAACAAATATGGAACTGAATCTGAAAAGCAAGAAATTTAAGTCTTAAGTCCTAAAATCTGTACCATAATTAAATATCAGAGCAAGATTTGATCCTACATTTGGTAATTCTATAAAGGCAAAATACAGTCTATTATTTGTATAATACTAGAACATTTGATGTTTTCTACAAAAGCAAGTGAACAGACTATTTTTTAAAAAAAATATACATTAGTTAAAAAAGTCTAAGAATGACCAGCCCCCAGGACTGTGTCTTGATCTCTTAACTAAGGGGTTATAATGCACTGCCTTTTGCAAATGTATTTGTACCCTTTTAATTCTTGTGGAGAATTAAGGCTATAGAATTATAAAAATAATTTTTTTTTCATACTTCTCACTACCATAGCCATTCTTTGGCTATCATCTATTGTAACATTTTTAATTCACAAAACTTTGCTCTTCCGTATCTCATGAAAGGCTGTACCTGGAATAGAAATAGTCTGTGACATAAACGAGGTAAGAAAAGTCTAATGATTTATTTCAACTGATTTGCTAGTAGAAGAATAAGAGCAAAAATCAATCCTTTGATAAAAAAAGAGTGAAGTATTAGCCTTGAATTATAAGTGAAATATTTTGTATAGTCATGTTACAAATGAACATAATTTAAACATTTCAGACTATAGCAATTGTGTAATATTTATTTCACTTGCTTACTACAAAGGCCAGAAGATGTTGAGCCTGGAAAAGTTCTGTACTTTTGTGTAGATTTTATTGTGCAAAGTAATTATAAATAATACATTTTATAAATAAGGCACATTTACCGCTATGAAATCAATCTGGTTGTATAATAAAATCACATTTTAAAATAATTTTGAATTATTTTGAATGAAAAATCAAAAGTTGATTTCATCTCCAATTACTACAATAAAGTCACTATCTACTTATATTTTTATTAAACCACTCCCAGTATATCAGATCAGTTTTAAAAAGAACTGGAGTACCTATACAGTGTTTCAAAATAAATCTGAATGTTACATACACAAAAAATATACTTACATCAGTCTTTTCATTAGTGTACAACTCCTGAATATCAAGTTATAAAAAGGCAAATAGATTTCATACTTCTCATAAATCCTAAAAAAATATGGTTCTTGTAAAGGCAGAATGGTTGTAGATATGGTTCAAAGGTTGCACTGATTCCAAATGCAGTACGGCGTATCTCCATCAAACTGTCTTAAAGGAAACTTTTCTCCTAGACAGTAATGATGCCTGCTACTTTGAAAAAAATCAACGAAGATTTCTTGAGTGATAAAATCAAGCAAGATTTTCTGAGTGATGGAACACAAACTAAAAAGTAGACCATCAGGAAACCAAAAAATTCCTAATGGAAAATAAAAGCTTGTGAATGTGTTTTCATATAACTATATTTAGTCTAAGTGGATCATGTATAGGCAAGCCTTTTGTGACATCTAATTCATTATAGCTCTCTATGAGAGATGACAAAGATGATACGGCTTCTGTAAAACAACTTTCCTCCATTCCATCAACCTGTAGGTAGTGATGAAGATGAGCCTACAAGAAAACAGGTTAAATTTGATCATTCAACAAACATTCAACAAACATCCACTAAGTATCTACCGTGAGCAAAGCCCTGTGCTAGGTCCTGGAGAAGTTCTAACTCTTATTGAGATTACAATATAGCTGGCGGATAAGGCATAAACACAGATAACTATAACACATAATATTATAGAAGTATGTTAAAAATGTACAAAACCAAGTACTATGAACAGTAGAAGGCTATTACTGATCAGATATCAGGGACTGCTTAACAGAGGAAATGGCATTTGAGTTGAGTTTAGAGAATGACTAAGAATTCAAAAGGTAAAGAAGGGGCTAAAGGTAATAAAAATGCCCTATATTTATGTAAGAAACAGAAACACACATAAAAAAAAGCAAATTTGATCATGGACTTGGTGGGAGGGGACTCAAGACTGGAATTTAGCCCTAGAACGTTAAAATGTATTCAAAAGGAACAGAAAAAGGGTTGGAGGGTAAAGTACCATGATATATTAATATATACTCATATAAGGAAACTTAAGAAACTGAGGGGGAAAAGCATGATGAAGAGTATATTGTCGAGGATCAAGAGATATAGAAACACCTTAGCCACCTTAAGCCTCAGTTTCCTCATCTCTAAAACTAGAGTACCACCAATCACAGAATTGCCATGAGCTTCAAGTGAGATAATGAATGTAAAGTCCTTTGTAAACTTTAAAGGGATATATGATAGCAATTATTATTATAGAGATAGAAATGATATTATGGAGGATATACTACAAACCACCTAGATAAGGAGAAGAAATGAGATGATGAATTTCAGAAATTGATCATGAACCAGGCACAAGTTTATTCTAGGTTAATCAGATATGGAGGTGGAAAAGCTTTGTGAATTATGAAGATAGTGACAGGTGACAATACGCGAAGACTATTCATTCAGAAAATATAGTAATAGGAGACTTTATGTGGACAATTACTGGCATCCTCTGCCAAAAGCTGAAGAACTGAAAAATCTATGATTTGACTTCACGGTAATTTCATCCTTTAAAAAGGCGATGAAAGCAACAAGGGAAACTTTGGTTCTAGACTTGACTCTTTATCAACTGTTTGCTGAAGCAGAAAAAAACTGATCCTTGGAAACAAGTGACTACTCTATCACAAAACTCATGACAGAGAAGAAAAAAGCCCAGCACTGCAAAATGTACATCTTAGATTTTAGAAGAACACATTTCAAAGGAGTTAAGGGGAAAGGATATGTAAATCACATATAGCGATTTACAAAAATCAATGCAAGAGGCATGGTATGTTCTCAAGAATGAGATTCTTAAGACACAAGCAGAACTGATTTTAGTGAGGAGGAAAAGGAGGTATTGTCAAATGAGACTGACAAAGATGAACAAGGAACTCTATGACCAGCTTAGGCTTTAAAATAACATGTATAGGAGTTAGGACATAATGGAAGTATTAGGTGTATTAAGGCTTGGAATATTCCAGAGCTGTCAAAGAATTCTAGGGACAATTTTTTAAAAAGCTATGGTGGGAACAAAAGAAATGATCAAAGAAGGGATAGGCTTTGTGTTTGGGGTGGGTGGTTAATAGTAATTGATGATAGTAAGGCTGAATCACTTAACTTGTTTTTTTTTCCAAAGGAAATGATGTTTAGACTGGAAATAATAGAAAAAAAATTAGCAGGGAAAGGGGAACTAAAATAGACAGCAACTATAGCTGCATTTAATAACTTCAAATCACCAGGCCTAGATGAACTATATTCAAGAATGCTGAAAGAACTAGCAGATAAGTGATCACTGAGCCACTATTTAGTAAACTTCTAAAGAATAAGAATGAGAAAGTTGCCAAAAGACTGGAGAAAGGCAAAGGTACCAATTTTCAAAAACGGGGGAAGAGGGTGGAATCTACAAACTATGGATTAATGAACTTCTATTCCTGGCAAAATTCTAGAGCAAATTATTAAGGAAATGATTTCTAAACATATATAGAAAGAGAAACTGTGATAAGTATAAGCCAGTACAGTTTCACTAAGAAACTGCAATTCTAATGCAATTATAATATAATTTAATTTCTGGATAGGGTAACTAGACTGGTAGATCAAGTTAATGCTGTAGATATAGTTTACCTAGATTTAAAAAAAGCATTTGACAAAGTCTCATACTATGCTTGTAGATAAGATGGCGAGGTATGAACTATATAACCTAGTGGTTTTGGTATAAAACCCAAAGAATAGTGATTAATGATACCAACTTTGAGGGAATGAAATGCCCCACATAGCTATCCTTAGGCCTATAATGTTCAACATATTGATTAACGTTTTGGATAAAAACATAAGTGGTATGCTTGGCAAATTTTCAGGTGACATAAAGCTTACAGATATAACTGGAATTAACTGGATAACAGTTCCGATCCAGAGAAATCTCAACAGGTTAGAACAGGATCCTCAAGGGGCCTATAGATAGATGTCAGGGAGTCTGTAAACTTGGGCAGAAAAACAAACAAAAAACTACATCTTTATTTCAACATAATTGGTCTCCTTTGTAATTCTATGGGTTTTATTGATGTAAAACATTCTGAGAAACCAAAGCTTCACCAGTCTAGCAGAGGGCTGCTTGACACACAGAAAGATTAAAAACTTCTATAATGATAGCAGTGAAAGATTTCTTCCCTTGAAAGAAGCAACGTCAAATGCAAAACCCTAAATTATGTGATAACAGTTCAGTCTATATGCTCATATCTAAAAGTAACTCAAGTTAACGTATTTTTCATGTTTCACTGATCATTACCTTTTTCTTGTAGAGTCTTGTGAATCTCTTTTTAAGTTCTATGAAAGTTGGTTTTATACAGGTGTTGTTTGCTAGTGCCAAGAGTGAGTGAGAATGGCCCACAGGTGGTACTGAACACAGACTTGTTTTCCAGCCTTCTTGATTCCATGAGACAAAGTGGAGAGCAGATTTCAATCTAAGAATCAACATTTACAACTGAGAATCAAGCAATATGAATATACGAACAATGAATTAGACCAGTGCTATGCTAATTATAAATATAGGATAGAAAAGAAGTGAGAACCAATGGGGTGCAGCAAGTACTACATTTGGAGCCAGAGAACTGAGATAGAGTGTTCAAATCCCAGCTCTGCTACCGAGTATACTGGGTGACCTTGGGTAAGTCAATTAATCTCTTAGGGCCTCATAGTGTAATGAGGCAGTTGAACTAGATGAACTCCAGGGACCTTTCCAGCTCTAAATCTTCAATCCTGTGAGGATGGGAAGGCTTGCCTTATTTGGGGGAACCAAGAGGATAGCTTTTTTCCTTGTAAGATTGGTTTTGTGACTTTTTAAAACAAATTTCTAACATACATTAAACACATAAATAATCATGAAATATATTGAAAAAGTCATCTTGAATAGGATAGACAAGAGATATCTATAAAACTTTTTCAAAAAAGTAAAATGTAAGGCCAAACCTTTCAATATTTCTTCGAAGATCTGAAATCTGTACATTTCCTCGAACCAACAAGGCACAAGCAAGGTAGAGACTATGTTTTGGGTCAGCCTGAATGAGCTGGTGGTCTTTGCTAAAAGCATCTGAAAACATTTGATCTAACCTATAGAAAAAAAGAATCATCTGATATACAAAATCATACTAAAAATTTTTCAGTTATCTTGTATGTTATTATTATTATTATTATTATTATTATTATTGTTTTTTAGTGAGGCAATTGGGGTTAAGTGACTTGCCCAGAGTCACACAGCTAGGAAGTATTATGTGTCTGAGACCGGATTTCAACTCAGGTCCTCCTGACTCCAGGGCTGGTGCTCTATCCACTGGGTCACCTAGCTGCCCCCATCTTGTACATTATTACCATTTAATAAAAAGCTCATTATCAAAATCAACTATAAGTTATAACATAAATAAACATATATAATCTTAGCTATTAACTTACATTATAGTAACTGTAATAAATGACCACCAATGAAAAGATGAGCATTTAATTTTTATTTTCTTAGAAAGGAAAAGGAAAGATTTTGCAGTTATTTTGATAATAAAAGAATTCATATCATTACAAAAATCTTAGATAAGTGTTAGATCAGTACAGTTATCTATTTCTAGAACTTAAATCATGTTAAAGAATTAATGTTAATATGATTTAGCCATCATAATTACTCCTTTTAGCATTTTTATTACTTCAGTCCAGCATATGCTCTTTTTTTTCCCTATTTTTTTTTGGCAAGGCAATTGGGGTTAAGTGACTTGCCCAGGGTCACACAGCTAGTAAGTGTCAAGTGTCTGAGGTCAAATTTGAACTTAGGACCTCCTGACTCCAGGGTCTGCACTCTATCCACTGTGCCACCTAGCTGCCCCTCAGTATATGCTCTTATGAGCACTACCAAAATTTACGTAACGTAATTCAACATAAAGAATGGCCAACTAAAAATCCACGATTGCTTAAAATAGAGTACAACATAGGTCTCAGACATCCTACTATAGCGCTGAAAGGGCCAACTTAATTTCATGACTCCCTAACCTATTTTGGGTAGCTAGGTGGCACAGTGGATAGAGTGCCAAGCCTGGAGTCAGGTAGACCATAATTCATATCCGGCCTCAAGACACTTACTAGCTGTGTGACCCTGGGGCAAGTCACTTAATCGTGTTTAGCTCAGCTTCCTCATCTGTAAATGAGCTGGAGAAGGAAATGGCAAACCACTCAAATATTTTTGCCAAGAAAACCCCAAATGGGGTCATGAAGAGTTGGACACAACTAAAACAAATGAACAACAACAAAACCTGTTTTATCAAATAACAGACCTCAAGATACAATGTTTATTAATGAAAGGATCAGAACCATCAGACAATACCAGATAAACTAGTAGGGCCTTAGATTAAAGGGCTGATTGACTAAAAATTGCGTGCAGACTACGTTATCTTCTGGACATGATTCACATCAGGCTATCAGATGAGATCAACCCCAGAGCTGATTCCTGGGACCTGACTTCTAGATATTCACTGATCTAGAAGTCCAACCCAAACACCCACATCAAAATCTACTTCCACCAGAGGACCCCGGCTAGTATTTCCTCCAGTCCAATGGCTAGAGATTTGCACCTCTTGCTCCCCTAATTCCAATAAATCAGTCACCATCTGCTAAGGCAAAAACCCTTTCCTTGCTATCTCTCTCCATGTTCTCATTTTCATTTAGCTGCCCTTTATCCTAGATCCTTCTTTTCACAACTTTCCCATTATCCTACACCAAGGGAAATCTGGCTTCTTCCAGAAGACACCACGTCTCTGGCACTATCTCCTGTGCTGCTACTTCTTTTATGCCATGCACTTGCTGGGCCAGGAGGAGGAGGAGTTGGTCTAATCCTTATTTCCCTACTGCCACTTCAGGGCCTATCTTTGCCACCATCAGTTAGAAAGTACGGAGAATGACCCAAAGGCCAAAGATTTGGACTGGGTGATATAGATACATAGATTAAGCCTTGAGGAAAGGTTGCTAAGAGAGTCCAATTCCTACCTCAGAATCTTCCCTTTCCAATCCATCCTTTGCTTTCATATTTGAGGTCTTTGATAAACATGCTGATCACCCTTTGAATGTCCTTGCCTCCTACTTCATTAACCTTCCCAACACCCATGATGTAGACCTTTATTCTACATATTTATTCACTCTCTCTGAATGGCATACATTAGCTCCTCACCCCTGCCTCATAGAACCTTTTCCCCCTTAAACGCCAGCTATATTCAAGATGAAGATCAAGTACTACCTTCTATGTGAAGCCCTTCCTGATTGCCCGCAACTCCTAGGGTCTGTCCTTCCTCTCAAACTACTTTGTAGTTATTTCCCTTATATTTATTCTGGATACATACACACACACACACATCTACACAGATACATTATACACACACAAACACATGCTTGTTTTCCTGTTATAACGGAAACGCCCTGTGGTGCAGAGATTATTTTATTCATTATTATTTGTATCCCTAGCACCCAGATGAGTTCCTGACATGGCATAGACATTAATAAATGTCTGCTGACTTATTTCTTTATTATGTATTAGTCACTCATAGGGATAGTTCACAAATGTAGACTTTGTCACCTTCTGAAAGTGTGCCACATTTTTAATCATGAATTCTTAAATTCCTCTTTGGATTATATTGTTATCCCTTCATCTCTCTATTTCACTCCTCTTAAAACTATTCTTCATCCTCATTGCAATCTCTAGACCTAGTCCATCTCTCCTTGTTCACCTATTCCATCACTCCTGCTCTCATTTTATCTTCCTTCTGTTCACTATAGTTAACTAAATGAAAATGATTTAAAAAACAAACAAATGTAAAAGAATTTCTTAAGCATTTACTAGGTGCCAAATACTGTGCTAACTGTTGGGGATACACAAAAGTGAGGCCAGCCCCTGCTCTCAAGGAACTCACACTAATTGGGGAGCAGTATATATTTGACGGTTCAGGTTTGGGACGTGGGGTTGCACTGGCAAATAATTAACTTATAATTCAGTTATACAATGTCCTCCAACCTTGACCCTTTTGCCCTTTGTTTTTCTACCATCTATACCCTGCCAATTTTCTATTGTGGACACCCTAACCATATGCCTTTTCTGATCCTAGCTCCACAATGCTGAATGTTGTCAGAAGAAGTCATTAAACTACGCTGACTGCATTCACTAGAAATTCATGTTATATACTCTCCATTGGTCCCTCACTGTTGCATGGCAATCCTTTTATGGATCCCTGATTCTACTGTATTTCCTTCTGTACTATTTGAATCCTCTTTTCTCCCTTGTAGCTCCCAAAAGCCTCTCCCACCCATTAGCAGACAACCTTGCTTCCTACCTTAGAAAACTGAGACAATCTTGCCATGAGTTCCCTCATCTCTACACTACAAAACTACACCTTCACTGTTGATTCACTTCTCCTCTGAAGGTACAGGCCTGACCATGTCACTGATATGCTCAAAAATCTTTGAGTGGTTTCCCATTGCCTCTAAGATAAAACTTCAGTGTGATTTAAGGTCCTTTATAATCTGGTTTCATCCAATCTGTGCAGATTTCATGTTTTTCATCTTTATACATGCCTTGTTTTAGCCAAACTGAACACTAGCTGTTCCCTAAGTTTGATGCCTCCACTGTACCTTTTCGTAAGCTTGCGCCTGCACCTGGACAATACACTCCTTCCTCATCTCTGCTCTCTTTAAGGATTAGCCCAAGTTTTACTTCTTACATTGACATTTGCCTGATCTCCCCAGTTTCTAGTGCTCTTCCCTTCCTCAAATTACCTTCTATTGTGTTTATTTATGCATATGTTCCATCCCCTCTGCAGTACAGAAGCTCCTTGAGCAAAGGGGTCATTAGAGAAAGGAAAATGGTATCTTGATTTTTTTTACAGGGGTGAGGGGAAAGAAAATGCCATCTGCAAAGTATAGGCAAATGAGCTTGGCTTCTATTCCTGGCCAAATTTGAATGTATTATTAAAGAAATGGTTAGTGAAGATCTAGAAAAAAAGTGAACATGAAAAGTTGACAAAAACTCAGAACGGGTCACACCAGCATAATCTTATTTCTTTTTTGACAAGGTAAATTGGTAGATCAGGCAAATGTTTACATATAAAGTTTACTTAGATTTTAGCAAAGCAATTTGTGGGAGAACAGAGATGTGGACTAGATAATACAATTCAATCAATTCAGATGTGCTTGAAGGGTTGGACTAAAAAAGAGGTCATTAGTGTTCAATGTCAGCCTGGAAACAAGAGTTCCCCAAAGAGCTGTTCTTGGGCTTGTGGTATCTAATATTATTATCAATCAGCTGGATTAAAGCATAAATGGCATTCTTATTGAAGCTGCAGATAGCATAAAGCTAGGAAGGACAGCTACTAAAATGGATGACAATCAGGATCCAAAAAGACTTTGATAAATACTGGGTTAAATCTAAAAAAGATGAAACCTAACACAATGTAAAGGGCAAGTCATAGAATCAGAATTGTCAAAAGCCTTAGGTTTATGTCATATAAGGAGCAGATGATCGAACAGGGAATGTTTAGTTTGAAGAAGGGAAGAGCCTGGGTAAGGTTGGACAAACAAATAGCTGTGATAAATCATTTGAAAAGCTGTCTTATGGAAAAAGGAGTAACTTCTTAGGATCATAGACTCATGGCAGGAAGGAATCTTACAGATAGATCCATCTAGTCTAATCCCCACGTTAAAGAAAAGGAACCATATCCCAGTGAAGGGAACCATATCCCAGTGAAGGTAAGTGACTTGCCCATTCCCACAGGCAAAATTTGAACTGAGGTCCTCTAAATTCCAAAGCCAGACTCTTTCACTCTACCACACTGCCTCCATGAATTACTCCAACTGGCCCAAGAAGCTACAGATGCCATGGATGAAAGTTGCAAAGAGGAAAATTCAGTTTTATGTAAGAAAAAACTTCCTAATAATTAATTAGTGCTATTTAAAAGTGGAATGTTGCCTTAAAAAGTAGTAGATTCTTCCTTGTTGGAGGTTTATAAGCAAAAGTAAAGTGACTCTTTGTTAGATATATTGAGGATTCTTTTTCAGGGATGGATTGGACATGATGATCATTTAAGGTAGGTCATGTCCAGTTCTAAATCTGTATGATGTGATAAATTCTATCTTAGAAAATTTTCCTCAGTCACATTTTTTTCATTAAAAACTGCATACTTTGCTATCATTAAATATTTAACATACACGAGTTTAATGATAACATACAAATATGAGTCTATAATTTTTACATTTTAAAAGCTGACATCCTAATTACATGCACAAACTTGTGGCAAAAATGTACATTTTCAATTGGATCTTTTCCAAATCTTACACAAATAAGTTAACATATAAACTAAAGGGAAATCCATTTTTAATAAAAATCATTATTCACATTTTCTCAAGTGTATTTTAAAATGGTTGTTTTATAAGACAAGAGCTCTAGAAATTATATGTTGGTATGTCTTACCTTCGAGGAGGAACGTTTACGTCTGCCAATGTATACAAAGGTGTGAGACTTGAAACAAGATAATGAAGTTGAGGAAAGGGAACTAAATTCATAGTAATTTCATTAAGATCCATATTAAGCGAACCTTCAAATCTGGCAGAACTGAAATATGAATATTATAACAATTAGGAAACATTTGATTTTAAAATTACATATAAATTTAAAAATCTATTTTCTTTCATTTAGTGAATACTTTTTCAAACCATTACAACAGCTGACATTTATATAGCACTATCAGGTTTAGAAAGCTCCTTACATGTATTATTTCATTATTTGTACATGGTTGATGAGACATTCTGTTTCTTTGCCATTAGATTTTAGTACTGTGAAATCTATTTTTTTTTCTGTTGGAGACCCAGGAGTAGGAATCCAGATCCATGATTTCATCAGTATAAATATGGAAACTCTATTCATCAATGTCAATCAGGATCTCTTTTTAATTTAGTCTTAAAAAAAGGGTTTCATAGTCACTGAGAAATTAAGTGATTTGCCCATAGTAAGACAGCTGGTATGTGTCAAAGGCAGAACCTTAACCCTGGGTCTTCCAGACTCCAAGGTTCATTTTCTATCCACTATTCAACAGTACTTCTTGTGAAATCCCATGTATAATGGTATTTTAAAGATCATACACATACCTAACAATTTTAGCATTTTAACTTCTGGATTATTTTTATAGTTAAAAACCTTTAAGTCACCTTGGCTTTTCTATGTATTTAAAGAAATCTGGTTTAAAATGCATCAGCAGTCTCTTAAGTTAGTCACACAAAAATCCACCTACTAAGATCTTAATTACAATAGGAATGCTTAATGAAATACCTTTAGTCTACCTGGGTACATATCAAGTTTTCTTGCTTTATTCAAGCTTTGGTTTTCCTCTATTTCTAAGTTCTTTATTTCATACTAGATAAGTGATCTGGCTTTTACTTTTCTTTATGAAACTGGATCTACTAATATATGAGCTGGTGAATGTACACCAAGGTCTAGACATTTAGGATTTGAATTTTTTAGTCAGCTATTAGAAGAGCTGAAAAAAATTCAGGTTCATAAAATTTACTACAAACTAAATAGTAAATAAGTTATTTGCAAAATAACTAGTAGTAAATAACTAATTACAAAAAATTTAAGTGTCCAGGAACTATGTTAAAAGTTTGTAAATTCCCTTAATAATGCTAGCTAACATTTTCCCAATGAATATGCAAAAAAATTACCTTGTTAAGTTGAGCAGCAAATTTCCTACAATATTATTCATTGTATCAAATGGCTTTTCTTGCAGCTTTTTTTTAATACCACCTTCATTTAAAGTTATCAGACTCTCTGGCTTCACAGTTGTTCCTGGCTTTCCAGATGTTACCATCTGATTAATTCTACTAACGATGTCAAATAAAGACTTTTGAGGAAAAAAATCAGGAGAGAAAGTAAATATTCAATGCATATTAATAGTAAATAGTAAATTGAGAGAGACTGGGGAAAATAAGTCTCTTGAATCAGAAAATAAAATAAAATAGAAGACAATCTATATCTCAATAACAATGTGTTTAGTTTATTACTTGGCAGCTGAAAAATTTGTAAGATCAAATATCAACCGTGTTCCTTACTTCATTTTCGATGGGCAACACACAGTCCGCATGCTCATTAAGTTCCTTCATTGCCAAAACACTATTATATGGTGAAGTAATGACATCATCCTCACCAGATGGAAAAACTGAAGTCACAAATCTGTATACTTCTGGAAATTCATCCTCAAGCACATTTAAAATAAATGTGCCAAGACCAGAACCTGTCCCTAAGAATGACAATTGAAGAACATGTAAAACAGTATAAAAAATTTGTAACATTTTGGTTACATTCTATTTTTTACTATTTATATATATATATGTGTACATATATATATAATATATATCCATATATGTAGATACTTTTATTCTACTCTAAAAATATTTCTATGACAAACAATAAATTTATTTCATTTTACATTAGGAAATAAAGAGTGGGAAGTGAGGTTTATAACTACTTGACTACATAACATCTTGTTATGAATAGAGGCTTTTCTAGACTTTTTTGGTTACAATTGTGTCATTATGATGACAAAACAAATGATAGAAAAGTGAAAATATGTGATAATCAACTGGTTGTTTTATCTATCTGCCGTCATAAAATTGGTGTAGTGCATATATCTTAGTGATGAAATTCAACTAAGTAAAAATTTAATTTTGTTAAAAATTGAATATGACTTTTAAAATGTATAAAAGTAAAATGTTATACTAGAATTTATGCATCAATTAGGAAAAGTTCTTGTGGCTTAAAAAACAAAGTCTAAATAGTACTGTTTAAAATGTGCTTACATCTGTGGTGATTTTCAATTCTGCTAGTTACTACAAATGCATTATATATGTAGTTAGAAAATATTTTCAATGATTCTAAAAGCCTGGGAAATGATTCTAAAAGACTGAAGCTGTACAAACTCTCTCTTAAGAAGTTATCACGAAATGTAAATCAAACTGTTTATGTAAAAGTCATTCAAAACAGAAGTTGTATTATGATAGCATAATGAATTTATTGTTCATGACAATCTATAAAAATAGTATAATGTCAAATGCATCTTTAATGCTATAGTAGGATTTTGAATATGTGTGTATTCACACAATACACATATTAGCATTAAGCATGCCAATTCTCTGTTCCCAAAACTGATCAATTCTGTTTTAGATTTCAATACATTCTAATGTCTTCCATTTCATGAATGGATAGGTAAAAATTCAGTTCCTGCGCACAAGTTTTCTCAAATTCAGTAGCGTATTCATTTCCAGGTCACTCTTAACTTATTAAGCTAAGGAATGATTTAAAGGTGCTGAATCTAAGAGTGTCTATTATATATTTTTTCTATTGGTGGTAATTCTGAGAATTATAACTAAGGAAAAGTTTGGAGTGCTGAAAAGGGTATACAATTTTTGTTATAAAATGTGTGAATAAATGCTCTAGGTTCCCATTGCTCATCTATAGTTGGCCTACACTATAAGTTCAAAGTAGCAAAAAACTTGAACAATTTTTTTGTCTGTAAATATTATGAAGTTTTCACAAGAGTAAGCAATTTTGTTTTTAAATGGTAGAATAAAACTCTTAGATTGTATTTATATTAGTTTTTAAATATCAATGTAAAAACAGATTACAGGTAAATAAGTGCTAAAATTTCACAAATCTCAAAAAGACAGCAATCCAATTCAGGCATGCATAATTAATTAAATAACTACACATATCAACTATAGGTTCTAAAATTGAATTTCTTTATTTAAAACTGTAGAGTCAGTTCTAATTTAACAGTTTAGCAAATGAATAAGTAGATTTACCTCCTCCCATGGAGTGAATTATGAAGAAACACTGCAAACAGTCACAGTGCTCTGCTGTCTGTCTGAGTTTCTCCACAATCTGATCCCGGTACTGAGAGCCAAAAACTTTGTAACCCACTGACCTAAAAAAAAAAAAAAAAAAAACATACAACACATTCAATCAAAAGTAAAATAAACGAACAAAACCATTTGCACTTACTACCTCCTGATTTTTCCTTTTCTGAGGTATACAAGAAAGTATAAAATAATGTGAATTCTTTTTCTGAAGGCACAAATGCCAATCTGTAGTTTCATAACCCTGAATTAAGTTCACAGCATCACAGGCAGGTTTTAGCACTGGAAACGATGTTAAGGTCTTATAGTCCAAACCTCTCACTTTCCAGAAGAGGAAAATGAGGCTCAGAGAGGTTATGAGGTCACACAGGGAAAGTAGCAGATCCTGGACTTGAACTCAAGCCTTCTGAGTTCAAACACAGTGCTATTTCTAATGTACAATATGCTGTCTTTCTTATTTTAACATAAACTTACTTCACAGTTTAATACTATATAATATCCACATGGAACATTTAACCATCATTATACTACATAAATTCCAAAATATCCTCAAGAGCATTCTCATCAATGGACAAAGAACTGTACTTTTCTAAATTTATCTTTTCTCTGAGATTTTAAAAATTTTGAATAAGATATTCATTAATGATCTTGGTCTATAATCTATTTTCCCCCTTTATTCTTCTTTGGTGTAGGACAGTATTAGGACTATATTTGTTTCATGAAAGAAGTTTTTCATAAAGAGTATTATCCTTCTCAATTTCTGAGAATTAAATAATGTAGGTAATAACTTTTAAAATTCTGATTCTCCTATAAGTCCATCTGGACCAGAGATTTTTCTCTTTGGTGGTTCCTTTACAGTTAGTTCTATGTCCTTTTCTGAAATTGGATAATTTAAGATCACTATTTGGTGTTTGGTTAGTTTGAGTATCTTGTTTTTGAAAATAATTCACAATATCTTTATGTGTTTTTAATTTTGTTGGCATGTAATTAGATTCTCAAAATTGTTTAATTTTTGTTTTTAATTTCTTCTGATTTTACCTTTTTCAATTATTTTGTTGATTTGATTTCCTGCCCTCTTCTTTTTAATCAGGTTGTCTAAAGGTTTACCAATGTTGTTAGTCTTTTCAAATTCAATTTTATTTTCAGTTCCAAATTCTTTATTTCCCTCTACCTCCTCCTCCACCCACTGAGAAAGCAAGAAATACAATACCCATTATACATATGAAGTCATGCAGAACAAATTTCTACATTAGTCGTTTTTAATAATTTCAAAGAACTAGCTTTTAGTTTTATTAGTTCTATAGTCCTTTTGGTTTCTAATTGAACAATTTCTTCTCTAATCTTCAAAATTTCCTCTTTTGTACTTATCCAAGGTTTATATATTAGATTTTAAATGTTTTAAAATGAATATTCAGTTAGGTAATCATCTTTTTCTAGTTTGCTAATATATGTTCTTATGTATATCATTTTTTTTCTGAGGACTGCTATAGCATCCTAGAAATTTTAGCATGCTGTCTCATCATTATTATTCACATAATTACTGTCTCTATGATTTGTTTTTTGACCCATTCCTTTAGGATTTCATTACTAAGCCTCAAGGTTTGTGTCTTTTGCTTGTACTCCCTGAACTAATTATCATTTTTATTGCATGATGCCTGTAAAGGATGTGTTTAGGATTTTTGCCCTTTAATATTTATTTTTAATTTCTCTGTGCCTTAATACATGGTGTATTTTTATTGAAATGCCATATGGTGCCAAAAAAAATAGGCATGTTCTTTAGTGGTCTCATTTGGAAGACACTATAAACCTTTTAGTTCTAATTTTCTAACAATTTGTTCAATTCTCTATTTTCCCTTTTATTTATCTATCTGTTAGATATGGCCAACCCTGACAGAGGAAAATTAAAGTTAAAAATTTTTATAAATTAAAGTTAAAAACTGTTGTTGTGTTACTATTTGTATCTTTTTGCAATTCAGTTAATTCTTCCTTTATGAATTTAGATGTTATGTATTTAGAGTTTAATACTGATATTGGTTTCTTACATATCTTTAACTGTTTGTGTTGTCAATTTTTATTTCTACTATTTTGTCTGAAAACATGATTGCATCTCTTTGTTTGGATCCACCTGCAACATATCAAATTTTGTTCCAGTCTCTCTAGTTTACTCAAGTCACATCTTTGCTTTTTACATGTGTTTCTTATAAGCAAAAGATTGTAGGACTTTCTTCATTGTCCTCGGCTGATTAAGTCTATGTGTAGGCTCTTTTGGCTTTCTTATTAAGGCTACTGATTTACATTAAACTGCCCTAAAAATAGTGGTATCTGGTGTCTAAATTCAAGGACTCATTTGTCATATGGAGGTGATCCCAGGTTTTGGAAAGTTATGCCAGAAGAATACAAGTCCTAGAGGATCCTACCATACTAGAAAGGCCTGGACTATGGTCCTAGTGATACACTGCATTTGCTTTCACAAGTTCATCATCATTAGTCTGGCCACTAGATGATGAATTCTTTGGTCATGACAACTCACGAAGAAAAATACAAAATGGTCCTTGAACTTAGTTGGTTCACTCCCACCTTTGCAGTGACAATGATAGAAAAGGAGGAAGAGGCTGCTAAGAATCACAAAGGCTTTAGGTCATTTATAAATATTAACTAAACTGTCACTTTAATGTGAAATCATTGTCCAAGACATTGCATATCTATCTTAACATTCTTAACATGAATGAATCCAAAAAACGAATGGATCTGTAATCTTATTGCTCTGGATGTTGGGGAGGGAGAAGGAGGTATACAATGAATGAGGCGGAAGCCTTCTTTAACACCGTGAAGACACTAATGGAGCACTGTTTGTCTACCTGTCATTGCTTGCCCTCAACATGTGACCAGTCCATATTCTCCTTCCAGAATATATTTCTCTGACATCTTTCACTCCTATTCTTCCTTGAAGTTCCTCAATAGTTGTATGTTACAGCCTGATCACAGCTACTACTCAATTCTTTGGAGTCTGCTGAGTTTAATGTCCCATAGCCATACAACACTGGTAGAACAGTTAAAAAAAGATGGACTTGAATCTGGAAGAAACTTGAGTTCATTTAAGGAATGCTGCAATTTCCTGAAGGCAATCAAGTCTTTTCCCCTCCTGTTTAATTCCAGGTCCAAATCATTGTCCATTTGTACTACCTAAGATATATAAGCTCTCAGACAAAGATCACCAAACATCACAAAGATGACTTAGAGAGGATTATGAGCAGTACTGTCTCCGGAAACAGCAAAAAGAGGGAGGGAAAACACATTTATAGAAAGCTCGGTAAGACAATCAATCAAGCCAAAGCATCCAAAAGATATTTAAGGATGGAATAGGAAGAATAATAAACAGACAAAAAATGTAAAGAGATCTGTCAAAACTTTTAGAACAAACTATTTTCTTCATCACTGAAATCAAAGCCACTGCATTTTGAGTCTAATGTCCCGGTCCCCAACGAGCTAAAGAAATGGCACTAAAGAAAACAAAGTCAAGAGGAAGATATGACTAAATATACTCTGCGGAGATCTTCGTTGGAGGTGATGATTTTGAGGGCCTTGTGGGATTGACTCTTTAAGATATCTGAAATAGGGAAATGTTTAGAAAAATCATGGATACTACAACTACTCAAGAAAGATGACTGAGAAAATATCAAGTACCAATGCATATGCGTACTTTTCTATTCCTACCAAAGTTTTATAAGATTTATATGAAATAATCTACATATACATTGAAGACATCTTTGATGAAGGTATGAGAAATGAATAGTCAGGCTTTTGCAAAGGCTACCATACTTACATTGTTAACAGAAAGATTCAGAGAACACAAGATGCCACTAGGCTTACTGTCTGTTGATTTTACAAAAGCATTTGGTTTTGGCAGAGTAAAATGCTGCCTTAAAGGCTCTTCTCTAACAAATGTCTCCCAAGCATATCTGAAAATCATGTAACACGACTTTAAAAATAAAACAATGAAGAACTCTGATGACTCTCTGATTATTAATATATGAAGCAGGGCATAAAATATGGTGAAGTATGCTCACCATAGGTCTTTGAAAATATTATAAAAGATGCCCAGCAAAGAATACAAATGGAGAAGGGATTCTCTATGAATGCTGAGGTCCTTCAAATGCTCTTATTAGTAGACAATGATTTGCTGAAATAGAATCAAAGACAAAGAAATTATAGAGGCTCCTAAATGAGGTCCATGATTACTCAAGAAATTGATCTAACTACCCATATGGGAGGAAAAAGTAGATGAAGAATGTCCAGACTATAACATGCAGTTGGATGGACTGTACATAGCTGGTCCACTAGTATATATATGTTTTGGGTAGACACTGAAGATGGACAATGAACTGTTCCTAGAACTAAAAAGAAGTAAAAGAAAAGGTTAGATTACATTTGGGAAATTGTGAAGTATTATTTTTTTAAAATGATCTCAAACTTCAGTCTGGAACAAAGAACCATCTTTTGAGCACCAACTTCCTCTTGCAGAGATATTATGTGGCTGTGAATTATGTAATTATCACAGTATATGAAGATTTAAAGTTAATTAAAGGACACTGGAGAAAACACATGATGGGTCTGGATAGGTGGCTGCAAAATCAACAAAGAACGGTGCAACAAAATCAGCATAGAACTTATGACAAAGATAGTCCAAGGAGCCAGTGTGTTTCATTTGTATTCATAAAATGTCAAAAGACCTAAAAGAATGCCTGCAGTATTTTGGATAGACAGCCTACCTCCCTCATTGATAAATTTATGAGAAAATATGAGTAAGAGACACACAAGATGAGAAAGCATGGATAGAAAAGTTACAATTTGTACCATGGGAGGCAATACCTACATCAATAACAGACTGTATTTTCTTAGAATTTTGTTCTTCATGCAAACACAAAAATGAATGATATTACATTATTAAAAAACTGAGAAAAGCTTAAGAAAATATCACATAATAAATTGCTTTAAAAATAACAAACTGGGGCAGCTAGGTAGTGCAGTGGATAGAGCACCGGCCCTGAAGTCAGGAGGACCTGAGTTCAAATCCGGCCTCAGACCAAATACTTGACACGTACTAGCTGTGTGACCGTGGGCAAGTCACTTAACCCCGATTGCCTCACTAAAAAAAAACAAAAAACAAACAAAAAAAGTAACAAACCTGTGAAAATTTAAAATGTGAAGACACAGATCAATGATAGTTGACTGTTACTAGTGAAAAAATTAATTATTTTGTAAAAAGTGAAGATATTACAAATGAGGGTTTTCTAATAATATTGTAACTAATAAATTCACACTGTAGAATTTCTATTCCATCAAATATAATGGGAATATATTAAACATATATAGCTAATGACTAATTCTAAGATGATGCATGAATCCTGGGATGCCATTCTGGCTAGCTCTAAGGCTAGATCTGGTTGGCTCTGCAACATACTAGCATTGTGACTTTGGATAAGTCTTAACCTAGGCCTCAGTTTTGCTATATGTAAAATAGGAAGAATAAATCTTGCACCACCTACTTCAGAGCTGTTGTGAGGAAAGTACTTCATATTTTGTAAAAAGCTAAATAAATGTTATTGTTGTCCCTCTTTTTTTTGCATCAATTCCTTTAAGCAGTTAGATAAAAGAACTAAATATGAGAATTTAAGCCCCTAAATCATAGAAGGGCATTAGTAATAATCTGTTAATCAATGAAATTTTAAAGATCAAATATAGAAGTGGTTAAGTAGATCTAAAAATCCCACTATTAGAGATTTATTTTCTAAAATATTTTTCTATCAATTCTTTAGATACAACATACTTAAAAATATTCAGCTGCAAAGTAACTTGGAATATTTTTTCCTATCTCTCTTCTGTCCTCAAAAAGGGATAAAAAATATTAGAGGCCATCTTAATACAAGGCAACCTATGTAGCTCTAAGAACTAAGTATTTCATATATCAAAAGGAAATGGGTCAAAGACAAAGGCTGAGAACTGAAAGGCTGATAGAAAGCAGGATATAGTAAGAAGTATGGGAGTGACCTTTCATACTAACAGCTCCTTTCATGTATCTGTTTTACATGCAATAATAGCATCTACTAGAAAGAAAGCTAATTGTTCCAGTTTCAGCTGCTGTTTTGCATATTCTCACCAATTATTCCCTGAGCCAGAAACATTTGTGATGAGTTGCTTGCTATCAAATATATCTTTCAATGGTCCCTGAAGGATTTCATTCACTACTCCTTCCTCCATATCAATCAAGACCGCCTAAGAAAAAAGAATTAAAATTTAATTAACATATTTTACTTTAAATTCATTATCCAATGAAACCAACAACACATTTAAGCTGAAACTTGATTTTTTTCTTTCCAGATTTAATCAAAATGTTCCTTTATGAAAAATGTGTTTCAGAAATCCATTTCAAAAGGAAATGTTTTACCATTTTATTAAAAGGTAAAATCCATTTAAGAATTGGATTCCACCAGGTCCTCTATTTTATCCTATTCCAAAAACGTAAATAAACTCAACACACACTCACATTTTATTTTCCCATAACCTCCTGTTGTACCAGAAAGATATACTGACCTTTACGAACAATAGGCCAGGCCTTATTATAAACAACAAAGAAATGCCCATCTTTTTTGTAAACTTAATATTTTAAACTCATCCTCATGTGACTCCATGGCAGTTACAAAGCTGTTAACCCTTCTGTTTATATGTTGTGAAGGAAATGGTTGATGTGGATAAGGTTTTTTTCTGTCATTGAGACAAGATTCAAAAATACAATTTAAAAAGATGCATTAAGTAGCCTCCATTTTATATGGTGTATAGAAGCTAAAATGTTGGGTGAGATTTGAAGTTTATATAAGATTTAGTCTCCGGCAGGCAAATATGACATGGACAAAAAAATTATGAAACAAAACAATATATGCCAAATAGTAAAGAGAGGTATAAGGAAAAGATCGTAACTGACTTGAAGTGGGAGAGAGCAGAATGTGAGGGAGTTGGCATTTGATAGTTAGATGAGGTATGAAGTCAGAGGGCATTCCAGGCAAGAGGACATAAAACAGTTGAGAACCTAGGGCAAGGGTGGGTAACCTATGGCCTTAAGGCCACATGTGGCCCTCCAGGTCCTCAAGTGCAGCCCTTTGACTGAATACACACTTCACAGAACAAATCCCCTTAATAAAAGGATTTGTTCTGTAAAACTTGGACTCAGTCAAAAGGCTGCACTCGAGGACCTAGAAGATCACATGTAGCCCCAAGGTCGCAGGTTCCCCAGCCCTGAACTAGAAAGTATTGGTATGAAATAAAGCTAGAAAGGTATTGTGGAGAGTCTTGAATGCGACACAGGAGTATGGGCTATATTTGATACACAACATGAAGTCACTGGAGACTTCTGAGTAATACGTAACTAGACTTATACAGAAGAAAACTGCCTGGCAATTGTGTGAAGGAAGGATTAAAGAAGGGACAGACTATGGATGTTATGTACTTAGAGACACATGACGTAATTAAGGAAACAGTACATGCTGGGGAGTAATGAGTACTTATACCTGAATGGTAACAGTTGGAATGGAGAGGAAATAAGACAGAGGTGAGGCTATCTTGTACAGCTGCACAACTGACTGGACTTGGTTACTAATCGGATGTGAGGTCAGAGGAAACAGTAAAAGATAACACCAAAATTTCAAATGTGGTTGACTGAATGGGAGTATCATGAAAAGAACAGGAAAGTCAGAAGGAGGGGTAGGTTTGGCTGAAGAGATAAGAAATTGGGCTTTAGATATCCATCATTTTTTGATTAGAGTTAGATGACTGGCCCGCCCAGAGTATTTACTGTGTCCAAATCCCTCTAGTAGGAGATTATTAGCACAGTAACTCAAAGTAGGAGCTTAGTAAACACTTGCTGATTGATTAAAAAAAAAAAAAAAGCAGACCCTGAGGAACTACATAATAAATAGGGCTTTGGAAGCAGCAGCAGCATACTCACATGCACACATACACAAAACAATTTAATAACGTTTGCAAAACATACAAATATGTATGAATGAATTGGCATACAGTGGTATAAACTATTTACATAAGTAGCAGTAGTAACTTACATTTCTACAGTGCTTTAAAGGTTTACTTTTCTCACAACTTTGTGAAGGTAGTTAGTATAAGTATTATCCACATTTTACAGATGAAATTGAAATCTCAGAGAAGTTGACTTGCCTAGTCACCAAGTTAGCCTCTGAGGCAGAGTTGAAATTCCTGTCTTTTGACTAAGTCCAGCACTCTTTCCACTATACAATACTCTAAATGGGCAAAATAAAAATGTTAACAGTTAGTGGGATTAAACACAAAAGCTCTCTGGAAAGAGGAGCTCTATGAGTTCAAAGATGTAAAGATGTATCTTGCCAAAAGGTCACACAATAAGGAAAGGTCAGAGCTAGCATTCAAAGTCAGGTTCTGTGACTCCAAATTCTGCCCTCTTTCTGCTATACCACTCTACCTACGAATGTGCACAAGTCAGATTGGGGGTAAATTTGTTAGACTCAAATTCAGCAAAAGTGGGATAAATTGAGGATAATCTGAAGAAAAATCTCCCAGTCTAGACACTACTTCTGAGGTATATAAGAAGCAAGATCAAGGGCAATTAAGGAATATAAAAGGATTAAGGAAAATGAAGGGCAGAAACAGAAAAGGTAGATTCAAGAAAGACAAAGAGAAGGCAACTGGAAAGAAAAGGCAAAGTTAGTGGAAACAAGAAGAAGATAAAGTAAAGGAACACACTGGTGGCAGGGCAAATTGGTAAAACAGTTGGATCTAAGAATGAAGGGAAGTTGGGTGTGGTAGGTGAGTTGTTGAGGCTAAGGACAGCAAATTGAGTATTGTGAAGTTAAGAAGTGATGAAAAACAGTAAAAATTTTAACCACCCACATTTAGTCCAAAAGAACAAGGTTAAAAATCCCAGTAATTACGGAAAGTGAAAGACATTGTACGGTAATTTGTATGGATACTGTGATGCCTGCATTTCTTCTACAAACTAGTGATTGTTTTTCATGTTCCAGGTGCAGGATGACCTTCCTCCAGGAGAAGGTGAAGGGATTTGAAAAAAGTATCTTTACACACTGTGTTATTAAGGAGTACGAGGTGTTCCCAATGGAAATAAAAGTGAAGTTTCAAAGAGAAAAAAGGGGATTTGAGGTAAACTAGAGGAAACCTGACTCTTGTGAAGGAGGCTGGAGAGTAAAAAAAAAAGTGTTATAGAGAGAAGAAAGTGAAGAAAAAAGAGTCAGCTATACAATTAGAGCTTACAAACAGACTTGAGGTTCTTTCTGAAAACACAATGGGATATTCTAAGGAAGGAGCTATTTGTCCTCCAAAGAATTGTATAATAGAATAGAGTCATAGAAACTACCTGATATGATCATCCAGTAAAGGTCAGAGGAAGAAGAGAAGAGTAAGGAATAGCTAATGATACTACTTAAGGACACTGAGGAAGCTATATGTCAATTCCATAACAATAGAGAGGTCTCTTATTGTCTTTCCAAGTCATATATCTGAGGCAAAACAGAGAAACTCTCAAGACTTCATAATGGATGACAACTATCCAACTCTGGTGACTACGCAAATGAAATTGCCAGAAAGAACCTGAAAAGCATTACCAATGATAACAATATCTGGGGCAAGAAACTGAAAATAAGAGGGCCATATATTGTGTTTTATTTATTGTTGCTAGCTGAAGGCAAGGGATGCAGAAGAAAAAACTGCGCTCAACAATGAAATTCTAAAGACAAAAAAGGAAACAACTATAGTGAAGAGAAAAAAATTGGAATTGTTTGCAGAAACAGATGTGAATGAATGGGGAAGACACCAATTAACTTAGATTTTTAAAAAGAAATATAAAGAAGATGGAAATAAGTCAACATAGCTGAAGAGGAATATGAGTGTGGTATGTCTTTATAAAAAGGACATCAGGAATGTTAAATCTCAAAACGAATTGAGACTGGTGAGGGAAGTTAAGAACAGTAAGTTTTTGTTTTTGCTTCTTAAATGTATACTGAGACAAAAGGAAGATCAAAGGTGGCACTGAATCTTTGCTTGAGGTGGATGGAGAGAGGAAAACTGCCAGAAAGGGCAGAGCTAATGAATTCTTACTCATTTCTGTGTTTTCAGTCAAGACTGGCTTTTGCCATTCTGGAAATGACAGAATGACTAATAGGAAGGGGACAGGAAGAAAAGGAGTTATAGTATGAGAGAGCATTTACCTGCCCCAGGTGAATTCAAGTCATCCAGTCCAGATGAATGACTTCTTGGGTAATGGCAGATATTACCATAATCAGTGATATCTGAGAGACTATGGAAAATAGAAGAGGTACCTTAAGATGGGAGAAAGGTAAATGCTCAATTACACACTTGGTGCGTTTTTAATGAGCTGAAAGACAAGCAATCTAATTAGCACAGAGGGGCATCCTAAGGCCAACACTTCAACTGAAATCTGTGAGATGACCCTCCTAATGAGTCTAATCCATGCAGGTTCTTCCTTAAGGTTGTGCTGAGTAAAGAAATCAGGTATTTGATAGCTTTTTTTCTAACAGCAAGGGTTAGAGAAGAAATTTTGGGGAAAACAAAACAAAACAAAACATTGCTTATAATGAACCATTAGTGGTAATGAAACTTCACTGTACGGAATAAAATACTATCACTATGGCCTTGTGATCTTTTTCATTACACTGGTATTATTAGGCAGTAGTGTAGAGTGGCAAAGAGTACTGGATAAGGATGAAACTGAGTCTCAGTTTTCTCATCTATAAAATGGAATATTACCTGTCCTAGTCTCTTCTCAGCGATGTTGGGAGAACCATATGAGATAATGTATGTGAAAGCACTTTGAATTCTGTAAAATAGTATTAAAAAATAATAGTGACCAGAAGGAGTGACCTTGGAGTCGGGAAGATCTTCGTTTAAGTTCTGATCCTGACACATATTAGCTGTGGAACCATAGGAAAATTATTATGCTCTTAGCTCTCTCATGAATTCAATTCTATTAGGAGAGGGGGTTTCTATACCAGGGTTTACAAACCTATACCAAGGAAACCACAGGATTCACCCTCCCTCCACAAAAAAATAAAAAGTACTATTATTATGTAGTATTATGGTATTTCATCTATATTTTGTATGGGGAAAAGTAACCAGGTAGCAGAACAAAATTACCTTGAAAATAAATTTTTATATGCAACAGTTGATGCAACAGATCCTTAAAATATACATATATTTGTTCTTAATACAAACTGTTTTCTTATCATCTGATCTGTCCAGAAATTTGTTACCATTAGTAAAGTTTTTTAAAATGCCTTAAGGTACAGCATCTGGCATTCATATAAACAGGGTGTTTATAAACATTCTTTCTGTGATTTACTGATTTAAGTTGGAACAGAGAAAATTTAATTTGGCTGACAATTATAACAGCATAACTATCATTAAAATATATAAAGTAAAAATCTTAATGTATATCTTACTCGTGCTTTTAGTGAGCGAATTTTTCCTTTGGAAATATCTACACCATCACCATTTCTTCTGAAAGATTTAAAAAAAACAAGGAAAAAAGATTACTGAGAAAAAACAGGCAACAGGAAATAATAACATAATATAATCCATTAAACTTCAACTCTATAGAATGTAAAGGAATATGAAATGTTAAATCATTATGAGTAAATTAAGCTGGACAAAAAAATTTATCTCAACTAAATGTTTACTTAAATTCTATGTATATAGATGACATATTTAATATATTATCCTGCAAATGCAAGCATGTATACAGAAACATGGAAAATTATGGATATTAGTCTTAATATTTTTGGTCCAAAACTGAGATTTCACGGGGAGGAGGAAGGAGGAAGAAACTCTTGGTAAAGAAACTCCCTCCATCAAAGGAAATCGGCAACTTGTGTGCAACTTAAAAGCTACAGTCTCCATTTGTCTGAGACCTTGAGAAGTGAGGTATCTCATCAGGGTTTTGCTCTAAATATTCTTGTATAGGTTGATCCTTTAATAACATTTTAAGAAATTCTAGCAATGAAATCACCAAGTCCCACTATATGAGCAATTCTGGCGACTGATACATCTTGCTATTGTCGTACAAAGAATTTTGGTTTTACTTAATTCTTAGAGGTACATGCAATGCATGATTTGGGGGGACTGATCTTAAATTTCACTTCTCTCAAGTCCCTTTTTTCTTGACCATTATGTTTTCTAAGTATTTTACCATATTACTAAAAATAGAGCAGGACGATAGGATAGTTGTGACTTGGACAAATACTACTTGTCTGTGTGGAATGGGAAGAGGATTGGCCCTTACTAAGTGCCTGGAATATAGTACTTGCTTAATAAATGCTTATTGATTATGACTAACTGAACACAGTGCTCTTGTGCACGTGCATGCATTCCATGCTGAATAAATATCTGAACTGAAGCTACTGAATACTGGACAAGAACATGTGCCACTTAAACTGTTACCCTGGTCCCAATATTCTTGATTTCTGGGTTTTGTTACGGCACAACTTTCAGTGGGAGGCATTCCATACTACTCATGGTAGAAGTTAGAGTTGGGTAGCTAATCTTCCTTTATGGTTGTAAGTTTTTATCAAGAGAAGTAAACAATTTAACTATTGGGTAGGATGGGTCAGAGAAATGGGGGTTAGTACATCTGAAGCCTTTTGTCTTAAAAATATTATATTTAATTCTTGGTCCAACGACAAAGCATGTACTCTTTTGTAAGCTTAATCATCCCGATCGACATTAATGTACTGAAGGTCATATACAATGACTACAGGAGGCGCTACTTTGCGATTCCTTAGAGTACATGATTTCGAGATCTTTTGAACTAAATTCATGTACTATAAACCATACTGGGACCCCCACCTAAGGACAGATACCAATAGCTGCATCATACATTCTGATGAACTTGAAATAAGTAAGATGCATCTTACCTAGTATCCACATTTCTAAAGAAGTTCTTCAGTGAGTCATCATAAATTCCTTTCTAAAAATTAAAAAAAAAAACCATTCATGTAAGTGCAACTATTTTATAAGTTCTTTAATCCCACCCAAGATGTCCTTCAAAGTTTTAAATCATAATCAATCATTAGGCAACAATAGAATTTGTAACAGGGATTGAATTCTCAAGAAAAAAATGTCAAAAACATTCACACTTGTTTTCCAACTTATTAATTTCAGATCAGCGTTTCTAAATTCACAAAAGAAGATCCTAAAGGAGTAAAGGCCTGAGAGAAGGTTTTTCTCTTCTATCTGACTTCAGAAGCATATACTGCAGCATGAGGAACTAAAACAGAAGAATCGATCTGCTTTGGTTAACTATATCACCTGTGCCCAAATGATGTGCAGACAGAAAAAGAGGAAGTGCTACTAGTGACTTCCTTAACGGCCAAATTCAATAATCTTATTCTAGTCCCCATCCTTGGGCACCAAGGTGACACAGTGGATAGGGTATTGGAGTCAGGAAGACCTGAGTTCAAATCCTGTCTCAGATGCTTAATAGCTGTGTGATCCTGGGCAAATCACTTAACCACTGTCTGCCTCAGTTTCCTCATCTGTAAAATGAGGATAATAATAGTTCCTATTTGCCAAGGTTGCTGTAAGGATCAAATGATATAATTGTAAAGCACTTAGCACAATGTCTTGACGCTGTAAGCTCTATGACATAGTAAGCTCTATGTAAATGTTAGGTATTGTTATTACTATCATTATCATCATTCCATTTCTTTAAATTTAACATTGATGATCACAGCCTCCTTAAGAGTCTCCTGTGCCTTTGATTCAATGACACTTAAGTTTTTGGATTCTTTTCCTACCAACTTCTCTATTTCTGTCCTGCCTTATTTTTCTTATCTTGGCCACTAAATGTAGATATTCAGTATGACAATCAACACTTACTAAGTATGTGCTATGTAAGTAAGCTTATACTTTGTATAGATTACTTTAGTTTATACCACTATGATAAGAATGTTCTTTCCCAGTCTCTGTCTGTTGAAATCCAACTCAAACTTCCAAAGACTCAACTCAAATGTCACCTCCTGAAGATTTCCCGGATTTTTCCCACTCCAATTCTCATTTCTTTCCACCTGGAAAGGATTATTTCCTTTCCAGACTTCAAATAATACTTTTTACTTAGAAAGACGGACATATAGGATATTTATCAGGAGTCAGGCACTGTGGTAAGTGCTGGGGATACAAATATAAACATGTGAGACAATCTTTGCCCTCAGAAGCTTACATTCTTAAGGGGCGAAGGCAGCATATAAAGGGGAGCTAAAAAAAAATGGGACAGTGGGAAAGCAGTATGGTGTGGGGATGACCAGAAGTCAAGGCCTAATTACAGGGAAGATGAAGTGAAGGCTCATTTAATAGAGCACTCAATCCCAGAGCACAAGCCCAAGATGGGGAATGTGGGGTGTGGAGGGGGAGGAGACAGGGATGATGGCAAGAAGATAGGGACGGTAGTCTCTGCAAAGTATGTAGAAAAGGAAGTGGTGTGGAAACCTGGTTCTGTTATCACATTCTCCCTTGTCTGCTAGATCACAGCTTTGCTTCTGTCCCTTGAAGGAAGGGCACGTTTCGGATGTCTGTATCCCCGGTGCTCAGCACATTAACTTGTGCTTTACAAATGTTCCTTAGATCACAGATGTAGAGCTGAGGGGGCCCTAAGGGGACACACAGTCCCACCTACATTTTACAGATGAGGAAAGTGAGGCCCAGACAGCTGAGACAACTAGCGTGGGACCCAAAATGCGGGCCATCTGATTTCAATTTAGTGTTCTTTCCCTCCGTACCACACTGGCTACCTTCTATACTACCTGCTAAATGCATGCGATTTTTCTTTCTAGAGCAAGGATTCTTGATCTTTTTTGTGTTGCAAACTCTTTGACATGGGGGTGAAACCTATGGATTCCTTCTTCAAATTACGTTTTTAAATTTGTAAAATAAAATACATAGGATCACATGGAAACCAAAGGTTAGTTACAAGAGAGATACAATTTTTTTCTTCCATGCAAGTTCACAGATCCTTTGAAATCCACCCCCAAGTTAAGAATCCCTGTTCTAACATAATCAGACATATTTTTTTATTTGATGGTGGACACTCTAAATCTTAAACAGATGCTACTGAGTTCCTCCACTTGAGGCCCTGAGGTGTAATGGAAAGAGAGCTGGATTCAAAGTCAGAGGAAACCTGGATTCCAATCTGCCCTCTGACACTTACTAGCTATGTGACTATGTTGCTGTTCAGTCGTGTCCAACTTTTTTTCTTGGCAAAGTTATCAGAATCATTTGCCGCCATTTCCTTCTCCGGTTCATTTTACAGATGAGGAAACTGAGGCCAACAGGGTATACAGTGACTTGCCCAGGGTCACATTGCTAGTGTCTGAGGCTGGATTTGAATCCAGGAAAATGAATTTTTCTGATGCCAGGCCCGGCACTCTCCTCCTGTGTCACCGAGCTGCCCCACGTGACTATGGGTCAGTTACTTACCTTTAGATTTACCAGAGATCTAGAGTTGGAAGGGATCTCGGAGGCCATAGCCTAGTCCAGCCCTCCCATTTTACAGATGCGGTAGGAAGATTGGGAGGGAGATGAAAGCGGGAAGATGGAGGAGGGAACTGGAACAAGGTGGAGAAAGGGAGGAAGGTGGAGATGAGGTAGGAAAGTGGTGTAGGGGATAAGAATATGGTGGGGAGGAGGAGGAAGAAGAGGGTGGGAAGGAAGGGGGGGAGGAAGGGGAGGGAGTAAGGAGTGGGGATAAGGAGAGAAGGAAGGGGGGAGGGGAACAAGGTGGAGAGGGGAGGATGGGGGGAGAGAAGAAAGATCAGAGGAGGAGTTAGGAAGATGGGGGAAGGGACAACAGCAAGGTGGGGAGGGGGAGGAGAATGGGGGACAAGTTAGGAAGATGGGGGAGGGGATAGGAACAACGTGGGGAGGAGGAGAATGGGGGGGAGGGAAGAAAGATCTGGGGAAGAGTTAGGAAGATGGGGGAAGGCACAACAGCAAGGTGGGGAGGGGGAGGAGTTGGGAGGATGGGTGGGGTCAGGCACGCGGCAGGGTCCGCGGAGTGGGTGGCGCCCTTCTACCTTGTTGATAGCTGCATGCTCCCTCAGGGCCAGATCCCAGAAGCAGCGGCCAATCTGGTTCCCGCACTGGCCGACTGCAAGCCCCCGCGGCGAGCACGAAAAGAAAGAGAACAGGGCATTAGTGCAAGCGAAGGAGTCCAGCTTCAGTCAGGGACTCCCGCCCCGGGGACCTTGCGGGGGGGTCCTCCTCAGCCCCCGACGCAGCTCACCTTGCACTACGACAGACTGGGCCATGCTGCTGCTCCTGCAGCCGCGGCGGCTCGCGCCGACACCGCAGCTCGCGGCCGGCCGCGATCCCGGGCCCGCGGACACCTGGGCGGCAGTTCAACGGTCAACACATGATTTCCAATTTCTTCCTTGGGCTCAGGTCGCGCCTGCGTCTCGCGCCTGCGCTTTGACGAGGCCGGGGGTGGGGGTGGGGGCGGAGCAACGGAAAGCGGCTGGAGGGCGCCTGCGTACTAGCTATTGCCATAGCGACCAGGCACGCATTCCTCCGCCTGGCTTTCAGTCTGGGCTCTCTCAACGTCTAAGTCGGAGTGTCTGAGGTTTCCGGAGCCCGCACCAGCTGGTAATACAAGAGTATTGGTTTGGTTGACAGCGTCCGTCACTTGCTCTTCCTTGTCCACAGTCTCAACCCTTCTTGGGCGGCGGGGAAGGGCGTCTCCTACCGCGGCCACCCCCTTCCCCGCAAGAGTTTTATGAGCCCCGACTGACCCGGACCTTGAAACAGACTGACCAATTGCAGGCCCTGGGATCTGGGGGTGGATGGGTGACAGCAAGCAGGGTGACTGGTACTAGGGGGTCGCAGGAGAGAAAAGCTAAATCTAATCCTTGGGCCGGTGGGGGGGTCTTGATCTGTGTTTATTTGGGCATGTAGGGGTACTCCTGACGTGCGGCTGCCCTTATGGGTATAAGCCCATGAAACAATATGGGGGCTCGGGTTTAATCTAAGATAGGATGCCACCTCCTCAGATCCCTCCAGGTAGGAATGATCAGTTGATTTTCTAGCGCTATGTAAATGATCTATTGCTGGGTCTGTTTTGGTAATGGATGCTTCCTCCTTCAAGATTTCTCTGTACCAATGAGAGCCTTGGAGTGCCCAAGGCAGAACTCTCCGCCTAAGTAGTGGATGAAAGCGATCACAGATTTGTCAAAAACACAGGGCAAAGTGGAGTGGAAAAAACAGCAACACTAAACTGAAAACTAATCCTCTTAGTTCTGTTTACCGCTTAAAACTGTATGACTTTGGACAAACTGACCTTCTTTGAGAGTCTTTCCTCATCAATAAAATGGGGATAATAATACTTGCCCAGTCTGCCTCCTGGGTGATTGTAAAGGGGAAATATGATATATGTGAAAGTGTTTTTAAAACTATGAAATAGGATGATGATGATGGTGGTCATCTTGAAAAATTCACGCTGAAAGTGATTTAGACAAACCTTTCTGTGGTATTAGATCCAGTGACCTTGAATGGGGACTTTCAGGAATACTTTCAGGGATGGGGTAGAGCTGTATTGTTATTCCATATTTGTCATCTGAAGCCCAGGAGTCAAGAACGGCACCCATACTAATGTTTAGAACTCTACATGAATATTTTTGCCAACTTGGTTAAGAATTAAAATCTTAAAATTTAGCTGATGCAAGAAGTACATGGTGTAAGAAAAAAAAAATCTGGATTTCTGCTTTATATCCTTCTGCAACAGAAGTGTGGGTGTTAGAGAGAGCCTTGCCATGCTTACCAGTGCACATACGTACAGACAGAATGAAAAGAAAGCATGCTGTCAAAGTGGTTAATATGGTTGTGCGCCTAGAAATTTGCTGTAGTTTCCTCCTCTCCGCCCATAAAGTATAGGCTAAATATGAATCAACAGATGCAACCAGTGTTTTATTTCATCGAATTCTTCTCATAGTGCAAGACTTGCTGAGATTTTGTATTGTGCAGAATTTGAAAATATTTTCAAGAAACCCCTTTGGAATACATACATAAACATATATGCATACACTTTTTATATCCCCCAAGCCACTTTTTTTTTTCCAATTTTCCTTTTTTAAAAAAAATCAACTTTTAACCATTTCCTCCTGGAGAATTTTGTGGGTTTTTTGTTTTTTGTTTTTGGCTTATTGCAGTTTCTTTATATTAATGCTCGAAAAGTATGTCATCCTTTTGTTATAATACAGTGTCCTAATTAATATGTTTTATGTAGCTTGTAATTACACAAAATCCACACACTTAGTGATGTGATATTGGCCCCACGCTGTTACTAACTATCTGCTGCTCAAAAACTCTAGTAAGAGCTTCTCTATACTTATGAAATGACTGCTCTCGTCTTAGTCCTATACCTTCCGTAAGATGAGAAGTGACTCACCATTTTTTATCTCTTATTTACATTGTAATTATTCTAGGTAACAACAATAACAAAAGGGATGGGTATTTTTTTTTTTTGGTCACACTCATTAAATTGGTTGCCATTATGGTATTTTTTGGCACTTTTGTATTTGGCTTTTGATTTTGTTTGTCACTGTTTTCACAGGAATCAGTTTTATAGATTTTTTTTTAGCCAAAAAAATTGTATTCATTTAGTAAATAAAACACAGCTACTGATGATTTCCTGTTTTATTTCACCTGTGGAAGACCCACAGCATCCAGCAGTCAATATTTCACATTTGCTTGAAATGAAAAGCGAGATTAGAAGAGATTAAAGAGACTTCACTTTTCTGCAACTTGTTTTTTGGGAGAATAAGCAGTTTCTCCCAGTAGAATGCAAGCTGTTTGTGGGTAGGGATCATTTTATTCTTTATATTTTTATTCCCAGCATTCAGCCCTGTGCCTGGCACAGAGTAATAATAAATACATGTTGGTTGTGTATTGACTGAGAGAGGCAGTAGGGAAGTGAATAGAAAACTGACCTCAGAGTCAGGATTTTACAAATTCTACATCTGATACATTGTTGGCAATGTAATTGCGCAAATCATTTAAACTTTAATAGTCCCATACAACTCTTTAAAACTATTAAGTTGCTGAACTGCTGCAGAGCTGCTTTGGTAGAGGATATTTCTTAGTCTTGAGTTCCATATGATAATGAAATCATAAGTACAGTTAAAAAGGTTTTTTGTTTTAGTCATTTTCTATTATTTAAATTTTTTTTAGTAGACATTAAAGATTTAGAGTGTTTTATTTTAAAGGTTAAAAAGGATTTTGTGCTGCAAAAACCATCAGAACTACTGTGGAGATAGCCTCGGTTTCCCCATCTGTAAAATGAGATGGTTTGAGTAGATGAATTAGAGTTTAGGATTCATGCTGTATTTCTCTTCCCTTCTTTGCTTGTGCTCAAATGCCTAAATTTCCAGTTCTTTATTGGAGTAGAATGACTTCTTTAAGGCCTCTTGCAGGGAGTTCAGAAAAGACAGCTTAAGTAATGATTGATTCATACTTGTTTATACTCTCTTTCATTTGAAATTTCTGAAATCAGATAGAAAATAATTATGTCAAAACTGCTTAATTGTTGCTGGTAGTTACTAAAGTGCATTGATCAGTGTAGTGTTGAAATATGCAGAAAGTGAAAATAAGATAATATCCTACTTCCATAAAAAACTTTTTATATTTTTAAGGATAATTTCATAGCTATACAAACCACTAAAAACACTGCCAATCAGTATAAGGACTTAGTGTTTAGGATGGGCCAATGCATTAGCTAACAATGGCCTTCAGTGATCTCAACTCATCTGGACTATTATTACATAGTCAAGTGGTTTTTTTTCCAGCCAACCAGACTTTTGGTTATCTTGCTCACAGATGTCAAGCTACTAAGGCAAAGAGAAAGCTTAGGTAAGACTGAGCAGCTTGAGTAAGATGAGTTTCCTATAACATGTCATCTGAAAATAGAATAATGAGAACACAAAAAACTTACTGTGAAAATTTTGATTAAGATAATCTTTAACTTGGATTATACATTGGAAAGTTTAGTTCTCACTTGTGCTGAAAAATAATTTGCTTTAGATATGTTATTTGTTTTTAAGGGCTAAATAGATTAATTCTGAAAATGTTGGGGTTGCTTTAATAAATATCTTTAAAATTAGTGATTGCTTACTGGAAGAAGTGCCAGATTCATGTTTCTTATCTATCATATGTAAGTTGAAATTTTATGTTTTGCTGTTGATTTCATGTGGGGCTATTTCATTGTGAGAAGTTTGGGGAATTGGAGGCATGTGGGAAGTGGGGTATGGAGATTATGATTGGGCCATTAGTCAGGAAAAGTCCTGAAAAGAACCAGGAAGACTGGGATATGAAGTCATGTATGTATTTTTGTGCTAATTGAAAATATTCAGATCTGGAACACAGATTTAGATGATAGCCCTGTATATCTGATAATGGACTTAATCATGTTTGGCCTTTTCATGTTCCACAGTATTTGAGAAGCAAGCAAGCAAAGAATAACAAAACCCAAACCAAATTTTTAAGGGCAGTTAGCTCTCTTAGCTAAACAGAAATCTTTTCAGTTTAATGCTGCCATCATGAATTCAGAATGAAAACTTCTATTCTTTAGCAGGTAGGAAACTATATGAAAGAATTCTCTGATGTCATAATTTCTGGGTGTCACTGGCTCATTCGACCAGCCTTCCTTTGGCACATTCCATCTTCCTATGGAAGGAGAGTAGAAGCATTTGATTTATTTAGCCTCTACAGGAATCAAACTTCACTTATTTTGGTAAGTGTATGTTTCTTTGGCTTAGCCAAAACCATGTTTATCAAAAAAGATAAGATTTTTGAACTTATCTAGGTGGAAAATTTTTCTTGAGCAATGGAAAAATACAACTTTTCACTGGGTGTGTAGCAACTGGAGGGCCTCCCTAAAATCTTTGTGCACTTTAAAAATTTTAAACTCTTAAACTTTAATAATTTCAGTTCATCATCATTATCATCATCATCATCAACAAGAAATATTTATTAGGAAATCTATTAGGTGCTAGGGATACAAAGAATTATATAATAGAGTATCAGCTCAAAAGAGACTTAAAATTTAGTTGGACAAACAACATACACACATTAAAAGATAAGCAATAATACAAGTATAGTATATGTTAAGTGACAAATGCATGATGTAGACTGTATTATAGGAATCAGAGGAAGGAGCAATCAGGCACTTGGGAAGACTTTACAAGCTGATCCTTGAAGGGGGAAGGCTAAGCTTTAGATTATAGGGAGCAATTTTCAAGTAATCATGATGTGAGTAATCTATAAATCACATTTAAAGACACATTGAATTATAGCTTCTG